ATACTAGACTCGATATTACTCGTGATAGTTCGCCCCCTTAAAAAACTTTTGTATGACCTCCCGGCAACTGAATTTGCCCTCCCGGAGTGAAAAACCTAGATAAAACACTGCTTGTCATAGATGAAATTTCGATCGATTGTAGAACTGTTCGAAGTTAATCTTAGGAGAAATTAAAAGAAGAAGAAGACTTCTAATTTATTCATTCAATGCTTTAATTAGAGCATTGTTACAATTCACAATTTGATTCAATTGAAACAGCTCATGATTAAACATTTTTTTCATGTGTAATATTTTAAGAAATAATATTTTATTGAATGGAACTTTAGTATTGATTAAACATAATGATGATTTTGTTCTGGTGACTCTTGCAGAAGAAAAAGAAATATTTTAAACAAAACTAAAATTCTTTTTTTTCATTTAATTTACGTAACAGTTAAGAAATTTCTTTTTTTCTTCATCAAGACTCGAATAAACGTGTATCGGTTTTATGCAACATTACTTTGTTTTAGTTTATGTACTGAAGAAACGATCTGACACATGATGCTAACTAAGAAAGCGAAGCGAACAAACTTAAAATCTGTTCATTCTGCCATGATTGTGCTACGAGACAGAACCGAGTGAAAAGAAAGAAAAGAGAAAAAGAAGAAATGAGTTCATTATAACTTTTTATTAAAAAAAGAAGGTTTATTTTGCTTTTACTTACTCGTTGTAAGAGTGACGACAACGACGACGGCAACAGTGACGGTGTGGAGTTCCGTCACTACCGTAGAAATTATGACAACAAGAAAATGAAAATTAATGCCAAATACATCGATCCACTAAAATCTAAGTAATTATATATTTCTTTACCAGATGAAATTGTTTTTTTTTCTTTCAAAATTATGAATTCTCCTAGTTTAATCAAGTTCATATATTGATATGTTGTATTTATTAAACATAGTTAAGAATCTCTAAGCAACAGAAACTATCGGTGAAAAAAGAAATATATTTCTTTTTTTTGTCAATGCATTCATCGTTCTATAGAAATAATAGGCAACAGTATTTTTTCTATATAATTATTAGTTAAGAAAAAGTAATCGATTGGTTAGTCAGTAATATCATTCATACACGTGAAGATTTAAAGGTAAAAAGAACGAGTTTCATTTTAGATGAGTTTTTTGTATATTCTTCAGAGTAAATTTATCTTGACCGAATGGTTCTATATCGGAATCAATCATAGAACTAATTATGTTTTCATAAGTATAATAATGAAAATAATTTAAATTTATCTTTTCATCATTAAAAATGCGTAAACAAAGCTGAGTGAATTTCACTCAATCGATAAATAGAATTTTTTCGAAGGATAATAAATCACATAATTTTAAAAAGTTAATAAGTTTGATTGTTAAAGAAACTTTTTTATATATTTTAGAAAAAAAGTTATTTTTAATCCCATTTGAAATGAATCAGAAAATAAAGTTCTTCATAAATAATATTTAAAAAAATGTTTTATTTTCAGTCTATTAGAATTTGGTTTCATTAGTTTTGACAATTCGTATAAGATTCAATCAGTCTCAGGGTTAGGGAGAAAACATTTATAGGGTCGATTTCCGAATGTATTTCCTTTTTCTTCTTTTTCTAAGGAAATTAGAATATAGAACGTCTTATTATCATATCTAATAGAATTCCAAGTAAGCTTTTTCATTATGGTTGCATTCTTAAAAGCGTTAGAAATTTATTATTTCATGACTCATTTTAAGTGACAATAAGAAATCCTCGTCATTACTGTAAAATAACTCTTTTGTTTTTGTATCGAAGAATCAGGAAAACTAGTAAACATTAATAAACTTGTAATATTTAATGGGCAGGACTATTTTGAAGCTTGAATCTTAATTGTTGTTAGAATATTTTCCAATCTATTTCGATAGTCTCCTATTCGACGAGAAGTTTGATAGAAGCGAAAACCAATTTAAATTTTTTTTTTGAAACTGATATAGAAACATTCGAACAAAAATCAGAATAGACGTAGTTAGATAATTATACGTATATCTAAGCTTTTGAATGCAACACTAAATTTTAGAAGACTTTTGAACGAATTTTGTCATCTTACTACGTCAATTTTTGATAGATTCACTCATAAATATTCTACTTTGATGTACTATAATGAAACCATTTGTATGTAGTTCTTTTTGTCGTTTCACTAGAAACACTCATTTATATATAAACTTAATTTTTCGTTTTTGTCAAAATATGATTTTTCGATCGAAAAAATTGAAAATCCTCTGATGCAGTTTAAGATTTATTTAAATCATTTTCTTTTGTTTTAAAGGTTTAAATGAGAGTTAACTTTTTAACAAACTGACTTTCTAAAATTGATTCGTCTGACTGAGAAAAGCAGATGGTTACGTTACTGAATGGCATTTTTGTTTTGTTTAGTTTGATGTCAAGTAAAATGGTCATAAAAATTGAATAGGAATGCATTTCAAAAGTCTGCTCGATAAAAATCTAGACACTTTTATTAGTTTCAATTTAAAACCATCACGATTTATGCGTCGATTCTAATAACGAAGTTCTAATAATTATTGGAAAGCGTAGAAATAGACAATTTATTTACTATAAACAATCCTCGACGAGACCTCGAAAAGATAACGATCGATGGCACGAATGAACGAAAATTTGAAATGCATGTTTTTCCACTTCTTCTCTTTCGATTTGAAGTTCACCGGTGAATGTCGAATTTAGAGTACACGAAAATTGTATCGTATCAGATACTTGTTTTATACCTCAAGCATGCTTAGACCCGCCAGGAATCATCGAAATTTCAAGTACTCAGCGAGCATGAATCAATGAAAAAAAATACGAATGACTCTTCGAACGCATTTCAGCTACTCGAAGAACATCAAAAGAACAAATTTGAGTGTTTCAGTAGAAACAATCCTAACAGAGTAACAGTTTCTTGTGGTGAGATCAATTTCGATTTCCTTGAAACTTTTTCTAACGAGTAGCAGTTTTAAAGTTTCTTTCTCATTCCGTGATGTCAAAATAACTATCAATGCTCGACATATATTTTCTCAGAACTTTGTAATCTTTCGTGTAATATTAAATATTAGTTGTTAAAAAGACAAAAAGTCTGTCAACGTTTTTGACTAAAAGAAAGTCATGACGAAATTTTACATTTTGAATTTTTTTGAAAAGGTTTTAAAAATACTATGACTTCATTGCTTGTCGTACGAATTAATTCTTTACCAAATCTCATATTATATCGAGTAAACATTGGATAGGCCATCTAAAATTCCAATAAAGCTTTTTCTTCAATTCCACGCGAAACATCAAAGTGATACCTCTCTTGAATGATACAATGATAAACAAATATGAAAATAGAACTCTTTAAAGTATTGTCTTCTTATCAATTGAAAGGTTAAATATTAAAGAAGAACTCCGATTGATATTTAGTTGCTGTGAAGGCTCGAGAATGAGACATATGCTGGGAAAATTCTTTTTTATTTTAAATTTCAATTAGATTTCTATCTCTTGGGAGGCAATCATTCGAAAGCTCTACACTTAAATATCCTCCCGTCGAGTCACAGGTCTATGATAAAATGAGAATCTAAGGGATCGATTTATAATTCCGGTATTGATTGGAAACTTAAATCGACACATTAAACTACCTATCAAACGGGAAGTTGAAAACATCGCAGCTTTTAATAATTTTATCGAAAAGAAATAAATTCTAGACTTCATGATCTGGTTTCTGCTGATCTGCCTGTACAGTTGATGAATTCAAATAAAATTTTTTCTTGTACAATGTGAGACAAAAAAGACGTTCACAGTTTTCACTTTCGATTGTTGAAAACTAAAGGATCACTTACTATTGTTATTACCAAATCATTATAGTTAGATCGATTCCTCCTCAATCTGATGGCGCCAAAAACTCATTTTTATTAATTGGAAAAAAAATAAAAGTTCATCTCTAACTAGATTACTGTTAGTGCTAGAAAACAAGCGTCAATGGTTTTCACGTGAATTTTTGTTTCGAAACATAAACATTGATAATATGATTTGATATTTTTTGTAGTAATTTTTTTCATAGTTTAATTGAAATCTGTAAAGAAGAATGTATTTTCGCCCAATTCGTTTATTTAAATCGCTTGTTATATTTACTTGTGTCGTTATTGTTACCTATGAAATCTATCGTTTATTATTACACCCAACACACAAATTGTCATTAATACGACATGATCATATTCCATCAATATTATTATCCAAAGATGGTTTTGAACATATTTCTGATAATCTTGAGCCGTTTTATATTCCATTACCCAATTTTTCTGATGACGAAGCAAGAAACTGGTTTTATAGTTCGTCTTATTATAAAGTAAATTCAAAAAAATGCCCACATGGTTCATGCGAAGAAAAGGGTGTTTTCTTCAACAATACAAAAGAACATCTTTCAGTTAATATTTTTCTTGTTAAAAATGGTCTCTACTTAAATGATGATTGTGGTTATAACTATGGAGATAACGCTACTCAACGTACATTCAAAAATCCTGATGAAACTACTGTTATTTATGATAAGGCTATTCTTTATCCTGTTCCAGACGGTTGGAGTTTTCAACATTTTCTTGATGGAATTGGTCCAAAATTATCTCATTCAAGATCTTATCTACAAAAATATCCAGATGCTAAAATTATCATTTTAGAAGGTGTTCGATTTGATCGATCTGTTAAAGAAATATGGTCTATGCTAGGTTTGTATTTTTGAAAAATTCCGAAACTAGAAATAAAACCGAGTAGAACATATTAGAAGGAAAAACTTAGCATTCTTATCGTTGAAAAAATTTTAATGTTCGATCAGAATTTATGTCTCTTTTTCTGATAGATAATATATGGTCTTATGCTATCAAATTTTGATAGGTTTTATTTAAAAAAACTGTAAGCAAATGTAATATAATGGATTGATCGGTTTAATTTCTACTAAACTTTAGCACATGAATTCATTGCGTCGAAAATCTCAAATTACATAATTCTAAAGATTATAATCTTCGTCTGTGTTCAAGTTTTATTGTAAAACGACTTTTTTCCAAGATTTTTTGAGACTTTTCTGATCATTTCTTCGACAGCATTAAAAAAAAAAGAATTCCCTTGTCGACAAGAGACATACAAATTAGTTATAGGGTTCAATAGAATCTCAATTGACTTGTGAACACCTGTTATGATCTACAAAAGAAAGAAGATGACACAAAAAAACAATTTTTCTTAGTCACATCAGCTAAATCCGCAAGTTTACTGTAGTCTAAAATATGTGCTAGATTTTTTCCTTTTAATTTCAATACGAATAAATATATTCCACCAGAATTTTGAACGTTTCTTGTTTTTATGCTTTTATTTGAAATTTATATAATAATATTGATACTTAAATTATATTTAGGAGTTGAAGAATCTGAACGAATAATTCATTATAGTTCATCAATGAAAATCGGTGCTCGACTTCTGATAAATCCATGTCGCACTCCTGGTATTCATCCTCGATTATGGCAAGATGCTCGAAAAATGTACTGGTCAATATCTGGTTTACCTAATCCAAAAAGTCAATTAAAAAGAAATAATCTAATATACATTCAACGAACGGCAACAAATGCAATGAATGGTGCTCGTCTTATATTAAATGAGGAACCATTTATAAGAGTTCTTCGTGATTATAGTGCAAAGTATTCATTAAATTATGTGCAATATGATCATTCAAAAGATAAAGATCATATTCGTTCTCGTATTGAACTTTTTTATAACGCTAAGATTATAATTGGTGTTCATAGTGGAGCATTATCAAACATGAATTTTGCACAATCAGGAACAACAATTATTGAAATTATGCCATACAAATCTGATTCAAGTTCACTTCCAATGACTTGTTCAATGTATCGACCTGAAAATATTCAAGCATGTGCTGGATACATTTTATATACTCAAGCACGATTATTAAATCAGTCTTATTGGATTTTACCAATTGTTGTAAATGCTGAAGGCAATCTCAATGTTGATACGAATCGAGTACAAAAACTTTTCGATCAAATTGAATAATTTTGTTTTCCCATTAAATTTTCTTGTGATTATTATTTGTCGATATTTTAATCAAATGATTATTGTTCGATTGAAACGCATTCTATAGATGCACTTCTCATCATTTCAATTGATTTGATTTTCTTTTGATTATTAAAACAATCTTTCGTTTTCTAAATTCCATATATTTGAAGTTCTCTCTAAATGAAATAAAATTCAGCCACAGGATACATTAGAGTACATCTTTCTGTTAATGGATGTATCTGTCCATGACTTGGAACAATGATCATACAATGTACCGAAAAATGTTAACTTTTTTAAATTGAAAAAGTTGCCAACAATCATTAGGAAAAAAATTGTTCGACTAATGAGTCACAAGGTCTTCTCGTCCATTCGTTATGCTGCGATGGCCGAGTGGTTAAGGCGTCTGACTCGAAATCAGATGGGTTCTCCCGCGTAGGTTCGAATCCTACTCGCAGCGCTCCTATTTTTTTTATTTAACTATTAAATAAAAAATATGAATACGCTTTTTCTTTTCATTTTATTCGTATATATTATAGCGAATATATTTTGTGACAAATTTAAATTCTTTATTTTTTCATAAACAGATACAGGTGAAAATCTAAGGGCATTCTAAAAAATAGCTTACATCAATATAGATTTATATTTATCATTTCATCTCAACGTATTATTATATCTTCTAAAAAGAAGATACTGAGATGGATCGATCCGAGGATTATTCGTAAGATGTCGCTGTTATTTTGATGTTATAACAGTAAATATCAATCATAAGTTATAGATTATAATAAATAATTGAGATAAAATTCAGAAGAATCAAAAGAATTTTTTTTTCAATAATAAATGTTAAAATATTTGATTGAAATATGTAGTAGAGGTTTTCTCCAAGGGATACAAATGAATATGGTTGTCTTAACAGAATTTTATTAGCACGTGTATTTATCTCTTTGTGAAGTTAAATGGCAGCATCATCAACATTAGCGGCAAGTATGGATGGTGGTGGAGGATTAAATGCAAGTGGAACTGGCGGGGTAGAAATTGCTAAGGCTTTATCTACTATGCAAATTCGTAATGAACAATTTCGTCAATTATATGAACAACTTAAAAAAGAATACTCAACTTTATCGGACGCATATGCTGACTGTCAACGAGCATTAGAAAAATCTAGTGAAGACAATCGTCAAATGCAAGAAAAATTTAAAAATTTACTTGATAAATTACAAATGGAAAATAGAAAGAAACAAACACAAATTGAAGAAATGAAAACACAGGTTTTATTTTGTTGTTTTTGTTGTCATTTTCTTTATGTTTTCAAAAATCTTATTTAGCTAATTGACAATAGTAAAATCGATCAAATTCGTGATCGCTTATCGTCTGAAGTTGAAGGTCCTTACAAATTAGCATTGTCTCAATTGGGTAATCAATTAGAGCAAACCAAAGCTGAATTAACTAAAGTTCGATTTGAATTAAATGCTCGAATAAAAGAGCATACTTCTGAATTATCTCAAAGAGATCAAATAGCAAGTGAAATTCAATTAAAAACTGAAAAAGAATTAGCAGCATTAAGAAAAGAGCGTGATCTTCTTCAACAACATATTCGTCAAGAATATCAAAAAGATTCACATATTGAACAAAGTCGTTCAAAAGAAGCAACACAATTGAAAGCAAAAATTGAACAATTGATTCAAGAATTAAATGAATCAAGAGAAGTTAAACTTCATGCTGAGCAAACAGCTGCAGCAACACAAAGAGAATTGCTAAAGGAACGTTCGTTATCTAAAACGAATTCTTCTCTTATTGAAGTAAAAGAAAATTTTTGTACTTTTCAAAACTAATTTTTGGCTTTTTCAAACAGAATGAACGGGATTCGTTGAAACAACAATTAACAGTAACTCATCATGAATTAACATCAATTAGTGAACAATTGACTACCACCAATAGACAAATACATGAAAAAGATCTTCGAATTGCACAAATTAGTTCCGATTATGAAAATATTCAACATCGATTTAAAGTTGAAGTTGCCAATCATAAAATTGATTTAGCCAAAATACAACGAGAACAATTAGAACAACAGGAACAGTTGAAAATACATATTCAAGGTTAGTCACTAAAAATGTAAAATGCCACTGAAATCTTGTTTTTTCTTCATCAAACAGTTTATGTTAAATAGGGAAATTTGAAATAAGGTTTTCTTTTTACATTATCTTGAAAATCAATCACAGTTTTAATGAGTTCGATAAAAAAGAAAGATTCATGAACGCTTTTATATTTCAATTCGATACAGAAATATTAACTGGACGATTTTTAATCGATATGAAAAGAAACAGAAACAGAAACAGAAAATAAAAATTTTGTTACCGTTGACCCTATAGAAATTAATAGTTGCTTCCTGTTTCGCTTCAAATAAAATATACTGTTCGTAGAAATCTATAAGATGAAAGTCAGCGAACAGACTCAACTCAAACAATCTTTAACTGACTATTAGTTATTATTTCATGGTTTTAAATTCTTTTCAATATTTATTTTATTCGGAAAAAGCTAAGTAGATTAAATTAAAAGTAATTTGTTTTTTCAAATTGGCATTTTTTTTGTACTTCATCAAATTCTCAAGCATATGACATGAGTGAACAGTTAAATGTTGAAATTTTCATATCAATAGATATTATATTTGAATCATTTTTTTTATATACGAAAATTTTCATTTAGAACTAGAAGAAAAAATTGTTCTTCTCACTTCTGATAAAGCAAAATTACAATTAAATATTCAAGAAAAAGAACATAATCTACTTACAAGTGTTCAAGCTACAAGAGAAGATGAATGGAAAAAGATTAGTGAAATCACGAACGAAAAGTAAGATTCATATTTTTTCTTAATTTGTTGGATTTATTTATTGACTTTTTTTTTTATTGAAGATTGAATTTAGAAGCCGATTTGAATATTTTAAAAAAATCAAATGATGAAAAACAAAAACAATTTGAAATTGAACGTGATCGTTTGTATGAACAAACGAGGAGTTTAGAAAAAACTCGTGATGAATTAACAAAAGAAAATGCACATTTAAATACAACTATCCAACAAATGAATGATTGTCAAAATGAATTTGAACGTGAACAAGAAAAATCTCGAGAACTTTATAGGAAATGTGTTAAACTTGAAAGTCAACTTTCTTCAACTAATGGAATCGAAGTATTTCTCTTTCTTTTTTTGTTTTACGATTTATTTTTTTCTTTCAAAATTTTGTTTGTTTTTCAGCAAGAATTAACAGAAATTAATTTGAAATTAAAAAATGAATTAAATCAATTAATGAATGAATGTCATTCAAATAAACAAGAGTTTCAACAGGTTATTCTATCATTTTTATTTGATTTAAGATAAAGATTTTTTTAAATTTAGATGAATAATCAATGTACAACAACCATTGAAAATGCTCGTCGAGCTTTTTTTAATGAAAGAAAAGAAATGGAAATAAAAATTGAACAATTAGTTGAACAATTAAAAAAATATAAAACAAAAATAATTGAAATGCAACGAGAAAAAAAAGAATATCGATTAAGATATCAAAATTTTTCACAAAAATTAATTGAAAAAAGTCAACTCATTGAAACAAAACTTAATGAAATCAAACAAAAAGAATTAAGTCTACAGTACGAAACCTTTTCTTTTATCAGTATCTTTTCATTCGATAGAATAGTCTAAAAACCACTTAGGAGTTAATTGATTTCACAAGCAAAATCATCTTCTTTCAGTTAATCGTCTGTGTGAAATAGAAAAATCTGGAAACATCTATTTGTTTTCACTGTTTCTTACGAACAAAAAAAAACAATGTAATGATTAAAATGTTTTATATTTTACTCATGCTCAAGAAGTACAACTTCAACCTTTTCTTTTCCCTTAAACTAAATATGGTACTATTATTCGTCTAACAGCTAGATGAAGATTGTTAACAAGAATTGCTTTCTAATTTTTATTTGAGATCTATGCAAAATCTCTGATAATAACAGTTTCTTTAGCAATGTATTTAGTTAAATTTTATGCGACGATATTTTTAATATACATTGTTTTTTATACTTCAAAGTTCAGATTGAAGTCCAACGAGCAAATTGACAATTGTATCATAGTTAACTAAAAGAAATCTTTTTAGTCTAGACTCTGAATCTTCTATTTATTTTAAGATTAACTTCCTATCTAAAAACGTTATAACATATAAATTCATGAAAAATCCAAATTATCTCGTTTTACTCTTTCTGAGATTATGAAACTTCTACAATAGTAAAACTAGAAGTTCTACATACAGCAGAACCTATGAATAGATGATATCTTATCACTATTAATTCAACGAAAAAGAATGAACAATGATAAATACTCTAGTTTTAATGAATTAAAAATCTGCTTGTAAATAAAAATAAAATAGTTTTGAAAGAAATTAATATCGAAAAATTGAATAGGAAAAAAATAGTTTTTTATTTTATCAATATTTATATTTTTGTTTTTTGTTTTTAGAAATGTTGTTAGTCTTCAAACACATAATCGTGTGAAACGTCAATTATCTCAATTATTAAAAAAACATTCCCAATTTCAAATAATTCTCGATGAAAATAATACAAATCAATCATCAATACAATCAGATGTGATTTAAAGCCAAACTATTTCTTCAATAAGATTCTTTTTGTTTCTTTTTGAAATTAGGATAAATATGATCTTAATTTAATGTTAACTCGTCTTGATCGTTTATCACATGAACAAAATCATCAGTTAAACGATTTTATTCCAAGTAATTATTTTCTTATTTTAGTCAAAATATGTTTTGTTTATTTTTTTAATTTTGTTTTTAGCAAAAGAAAGTTCATTAACTTTTTCAAATAATTTTGAATCAAATTTTAATCAAAATGGAATAACATCTTCTTCACCAGATAAGCGAAAGACCATTCGATTCGAAGAAGAACATAATTAAGCGAAGAATATTATTCTTCATTAAATGACCTATTTATATTTCGGTACAGATATGTTTTTCGTTTTAATTTTCGATTCTATCGCCCAGTGTAATGGACATTTTTTTAGATAGATTATCTTTATTATAACTTAATTGTGTTTATTAGGTCAAGTTGTTTTATTTGATTGGGCTTGTCTTTTTTCTTCTTTCTTTCTTTAACAACATGTTCATAAACTTATTATCGATAATAAATAGTTTTATTTCATTTGAAATCAAAACCTGAGGGTAAGGATGTGGGGAATCTCATGAAACAAGCCCCACCCTCACACCCAAAATTGAACGAGTTCAAATTGTTGAACAATTGATTAAGTCAACAAGTGCTCATTCGAACTTTTTTCTATTAATTTTAATTCTGTCAAATTCATAGAAAAACAAAAATGTTAGATTAGTCTTAAAAATGCTGGAGATCATTTGCATCTAAAAGATGTTTGTTGATCAACAACATACAGTTTTAGTGATCAGAAAAATTAATAATCAATAATTTTATCGATCGATTTATAATTTAATATTTTGTCAATTGTAATCCATAATATTTGAGATATAGATATCTCTTTACTGTATGATTTTGTTATTCTAGAAATTATTTTAATCTCTTATATTCGATTCTAAAAAATCTATTGTTCTTTTTAATAAAATACATATAAGAAAGAAAAAATAAATAAAACTAGAGATAAGTATAATACGATATGGGTGTTGATCGACTACTGTTCGTTGTTAGACTATCTGTTTGTTCTTTTTGTGAATCATCATTAAGAATATCATAAGTTATTTGAGAGATAGTAGCAATTTTAGTTTCTGATCTTGTTGATGAACGAATTGATCGTCGAGCAACTAATTGAATTTTTGAATCAAAAGTAACATGCCAAACAGAATGATGTTGTCGTCTCAATAACCATAAACCATGTCCAACTGCACATAGAACAATAAGAAAACAGAAGAATGTTATTAATGATAAAAACCATCGAATATGTTTTTGACTAAATAAAGAAAATGAAGATTTTCTATTTGTTTCTTGATTGAATATCATAGTTGTTGATTCATATATCGAATTTTGTTGACTATTAGAAAATTCTTCATCAGGAATTAATGTACTCGAACTATTAGAGTCTTCACTAGTTAATGTCATAAAAATATCTTCTAATGTTGATCGACGCGGAATTATATCAGGAGAAGATGTTGAATCTAAATTTAATCAATATTTAATTAATTAGTTTCATTATTAAAGATTTACTTGGACGATATTTTGGACAAGGTCCTTTCCAATTAACTTCTAAATTCGATAAGATAAGACTGTCTAGTTGAGAATTACGGAATAAAATTCGTGTTTCAATTGATAACTCAAATAAAAAAAAGGATAAATAAAGACAAATAAATCTGAATTTTTATGTTACATGCTTTATTTTCGGTTTCAACGAATGTTCTATACGTAAATTTTTATTAGTTAATTGAAATTTTTGTGAAATATTATCTTGGTCGTGATCTTCTCTGATCCATAATTGGCCCACTTCAATAAAGTAGAATATCAATATGAAAAATATCGAAGATATTGTTTTACCTGGTAGACCACGTGTCCGAACAAAAAATGAAAGACAACCACTAATCGGATTCAATAATGATAATGTACCATTATATTTTAATTCAACAGAACATATTTGACGAATACATTGAGGTTCAGATGTTAGGATATAAGTTGCATCTCTACCGACAGAACCTTTTCAATTCATAGATAGATCAATAGACAAAAAACTAATAAATATTTATAAAAAAAGATCAATTACCGTTTGTTCGTCTCCAAAATAAAATAGATCTATAAGGATCTTGTCTATGTGTTTGATTGATATTAAACCATTGTTCTTGTTTCGTTATCTTATTTTCTTGAGATAATGTCGTAAAATCAAAATCATTCATAGAAGAAAATGACGAGAATGACCAATGATCACTAACAAGTGATGATGACCATGTTTGATTCTCGAATGATACATCAGATGAAATTATTTCAGGAAAAATAGTTGAAAATTTGATTTCATCGCTATGGAATCGGCTTGTTACAAGATCGTTTGACGTTTCTCGAAAAGTTGTTTTATCACTTTCATTGACTGTTTGAGTTACCGCATTTAAATTATTCATTATCGACGAATTATCAATTGGTATAAACCTTCTTTCCATATCAAGAGCTGAATAAGATTAATATACTTATCATCGACAAAGATAGATTCTTTATATTACCTTGAACAGTAAATAGAATCGAAAATATGATGATCTTCATTTTTCCTTTCTATTATGTAATGTTCACTTATTTCATACTTTTTTCTCTAACATCTAGTACTCATTAGAACAACTGTTTCAATCAATTCTTAGTTTTTTTTGTTTCTAAGACAAGGAAGGACCTTGTTTAAAAAATGAAACATATGCTATACATTGTACGTTTTGAAAAAAAGAATAAGACAAAGAAAAGAAAAAGTAGAGACGGAAAAAGGTCTTGTCTTTGTTTTTGAAATCATGGAGTCCATTCAAGTAAGGCAACTCCTTGTCCATCTAAAAATGCATTAGTTAAAATTCTAATCCAATCAACAAGCCACCATATACCAATACCACCGAGTGTTAATAATTTAAAAACTCCAGCTGCAATATAACCACCATTTCCAACACTTAAATAAAACCAATCAGCACCTAAACCACCAGCAAAAAACGAAAGAAGAAATGCTGCTAATTTCGATTTTTGTTGATAAGTACATCGATCAGATCCATCACGTGGAAATGTCCAACCTTGATTACATGAACATACGGGAATAGTTCTATTTGTATCACATATTCCTTGCACACAATCACTATTTTTCGTACAAGGAGAAGTAGCTCGTGCCGATATGTTATTTTGAGCTGTTGATATAGAAATTGTAAGTGAAACAAATACGATTATAGAAATCATTTATTTTTTCAGAAATTCTTTAATACGTTCTTTATCAGTAAAAAAAGAATGAAGAATAATTATTGAATTGATTCAGTATTCATATGTAACATTCACCTACTCGAATAAATATTTTTCCATTGCAAATATCATTTTATTTTTATATTTACAAGAAAATCTTTACTTAAATGATCAATATCTTTTTTATTTCATTAATGTTAATAGAATCTTTTGTATTTGTTAGATTGATGTTATTAAATATATTGAGAGATCAATATTGATATAAGTAAAGTAAAAATAACAAGTTACCGGTTCATGTTAAAATCGACAACATTTTTATATAATACTTGTGTATGAAATCTGTGGTAGAAAACTTTTTTGGTTATGAGATTAATATTATTCTTTATTGTAATAATGATTGATAGGATTTATGGGTGAACTGTGCTTGTATTCTATTGTACCGATACGTTGCAAACAGTAATATGACCATATCTCAGTTTTATCATTATGGTTTTTTGACAATTGTTTTTCTTAATTCCTTCTTATTTGATCGTTCATTTACTATAAGAGTATCAAATATATAGGCTACTGCTTTGCAGATATTAAAAGAAAAATTAAAATACTAGCGGATATCTTAGACGTCCGCTGAAAAATGCTAATTCTCTTGGCCGTAATTTTGATTGTACAAAAACATTTAAAATTTAAATTATTGAAGTCAAGTTTCAAGTGAACTCAGAGTGCTTTTTTCTATTCAATAGTGTATAAAGTGCGTGAAATCTTTTGATGCATAAATATTTTGCCAGGAGCTTTTAAATTAAATAAATCAGTGAAAATAAAAGGGGTTCGTGAAAATGGTTCCGCTAAATGTGTTGACAAATTTTTCTTTCATTTATTCAATGGAAGAAAATTATTTTTACTCTTCTATGTTGAGTCTAATCTTTCAGGATTCGGAGATGTAGCTGATTTTAGGGCAGCTCTAATGTCAGTCGGGTTTTTATTGGCACCCATAATCTTCCCTTACGGCGGTGACCAAAAGTCTTGTTTGTGATCCTCGAAGAGGGGGTGGTACAAGATCAGTCAAGTACTACTTGGGTGTTATTCAAAGAATTATGCTAGAATGCCACCAGGAGCTGCCTCTGACTTGATTTAAACATTAGAAACTAAAATAGTTTGTATAGCGATAAAATGGTCTTTTTTCGACTCTGTGTTATCTTCATCATGTATTACATTTTAGTTCTCAAAATAATACGATTTATTTATGATAATAATATGAAAAATAATTATTAAAAATTATGCTCCATCAAGATATGTCGGAACATACAGTTATAGGCAAGAATTTGCATACTATTGACTCAAGCCGTTTGCAAAAAAATATTGTTCCGTTATCGATATATTTAAAAACATTTCTGAAGACAGTATCGCCAAAAAAAGTACATATTCATGATTTATATCTCATCAAGAATATCATGAATATACGTATATTACCGAACAGAAATAAATTCATATGAAGAAACTAGTAATGAGTTGACCCATACTACTAGGTACACGAAAAATATTCATTTTCGTTAATTTCTTTAGTTAGAAATAAGTAGCACTCATCGGCACAACTCGCTTGACTCTCAACTCGATTTAATTTAACTATCATCTCTCGCTATAGGCTGAATTCGTCATTTTCTTGTTCAGAAAATTTTGAGTAGTACAACGAAAAATATCAAAAATACATTTCATATTCATTTTCACATAATTAAAAGTTAACACAAGAGATGTTTAACGACTCGCATCTGAATTGTGCTAACCCTAAATTTCGTGAAACTTTATGCACAATGGAATATTTCGATGACCTCAGCACAGAGACGTAACTAGATTTCTATGACGAAGGGATCGGGTATTGCGCTCTCTCCCTCCTTCGGTAAGTTCATACCTCTGCATGTTTACAAGTAAGAGGAGTCAGTGCTGTTCTTCGTGTCTTGAAACATAGTATATTTCTTTGAAACTGAATAGCTTTAAAATCATTTATCATCCTTAACAAAAAAAAAACAAATGTCAAAATTTTACCCCAAAATGGTTACGATTTTAGTAATCCTAGGTTTATATCTCTTCATAAATCAGTTCGACTATGCTTGTATTGATCTTCCGTCATTACTATTTCTAGATCCTATAATTACGTCTTAAGTGTAACTTCTTCATTAAAGTTAAAACTGCAATAAGACTTTTAAAACATCCGTATTTTTTTGAAATCTCCACTTAAGTGGTTAGGCTCGTAAAAATTTATATTTTATCGATTTACTTCTTTGTGAAAGTTTCCTTCAGCTCATTTTTTGACAAATTATATAAAAATGTTCGTTCTTCTTAACAATTTTACACAAGCATCAGCCTCAATCTATGGATCTATAGCCATCGTTCACAAGAAAAGTGGTGATGTTGAACATTTATTGGACAAGAACATCGTTAATTGTGCTCAGAAAAATAACCACTGAAATTGCTGATAGCAGTGCTCTACTCTTGTATTGCCTAAGACTTTCGTTCATTGTAACGCATTCTTTTCTATACTACTGGAGCTCTGACACAAATTTTAACCATAACGAGCATGGTTGTTTCTCTTCATTCTTTCAGAACATTTATGATATGCACAACCAAACCCACATCAATCATTGAGCCGAAGTTTATGTAGCTATAATAAAGAACGGATAAAACTTAATCTAGTCATAGAAATAAAATTCAAATCCTTTGTAATTGTATAAACACGTAGAAAACAAAAATGAAATAGGTACCGATGGTTGATTAGGTAATCAATATGTTCTATTATCATTTGATATTGATTATTTCAAAGTCTAACAACCAAAAATCATCTGCTTCAATAGTAAATATAAATAGCGAACTCTTAAGCTGTTCGAAATGGAATGTGTTTATTGTTTTATATAAAATTATTTAAAGAAAAAACGTGTATCACAGTTGAATAGGTTTTTGATCAATACCACCATTATTTCGATAGAATTCATTTTTAACATGTCCAATTCGAACATGTGCTCGATCATTGATATCAATTGGCTGATTAAATCGACGACCATATTCTGATGATGATCGACTTGGATAAGATTTTTCGTCTTCCTACATGATAGAAATAGATTATTTTAAATTAATTCTAATAAACTAATTAAACCTCTTTTGATTGATTTAATCCAATAAATTTTGAATGTTGTCGATCATCACGATGTGCTTTTGGATTAAAATCATATTTTATTTGAAAAATTTGATCATAAATTGATGATGGTTTTGTCTAATATAAAAAGGAAATTTAATTTTTTTAATTTTATCGTTAAAATAAATAATTACTTCTTTGTGTGAATTAAAAAAATTTCTCTCTTTTGGTTGTGTTCGTCTTGTTGGAGGAACAAATGAATTTGCCGATAATTCACATGTATATCCATTTAAATCAAATGTATCAAATCCTGTTTCAACATGAATAAGTTTCGAAGGGTTGGAAGACATTTTCTTCAATGATTACAAGTATTGTTTTTGAAAATGAGCGTTGATAAAAACGTTGCTTAGAAACGACACCTATGATGAAGGACATGAGTTCGTTTTCTTTTCTTTTCTTTCTTATTCAGTATTAACTCCTATCAATAGATTCAATAGTGAAACAAGTGATTGTAAATTTGTCTCTTTGAGAAAAAGATGTAGGAAAAGAGGGCTTACAAAATGACTACTGATTGTCTACCATAGTTCATAGATATTAAATAGATTATTAATGTCAACGTTTTCATCACAAAAATAACATTCAACTTTCAACCTTTTGGAATATTAAAAAGTTTCTTTGCTATTTAAAAAAAAACAAAGTCTTCTATTATGACTATAACAGTTATAATCTATTACAATGAATGTTATTCATAAACTTAACTTCTACTGAACGGTATCACCTTTTGAAGTCACTGAGATATGCATCTATCTATCATTGTTTTACATTCCTACATGTTGTTTTTCTTCGTTATGAATCAATTAATTCAAATTTTCTTTCTCAAAAAAAAAAAAGAAGGAATCATCGAAACTGCTCGTCTGCAATAGATTCTGTTTCAAATTTCAAATTAATTATTTAGTAATGATTTTCGAAACAGTTTTACAAGTATCAAATTACCGATAAACCAATATAAACTGTTAGATATCTTATTGTCTTTTGATTTTCTACTTAAAAGTAAATACAGAATCTAATTATATTCTTGCAAAGAACGAACTCGGACATAAAATTAAAAATGAAATTACGTATATAACGAACTCTATAAAATGCAATCGATTTAAACGTAAATATGAATGTAGAAATGAACGTAAGATTGTGTAGAGTAAATTTTGAAAAATAACAAAAATCCAAGTATTAAACTTTCAGTTAGTAACTCTATAAAACTTACAATAAATATACGTTTCGTTAAAATTGAAGTGAATATATTTTCAAGAATTTTAATAAAGAAAAATTTGAATAGTTTGATTATTTTAGATTGAAATGATTGAAAGTAAAAGAATATTTTAAATTCAATTCAATAGTTTTTGAATTTCGATTTTATGTTCGCAAATGAGAAAACACGCCTCGAAACGTCTTCGTTGAATAAAAGGCCGTGTTCATACACAGAAAGAGTCATTGTATCGAACTATATACGATATTGTAATTTTACAATGATTTATTTTCTGTTCAAATTTTTGCCATGAGGTCCAACTCAAATGAAGTTTTCAAAAAAAATTATCTTTTGAAAATGATCGTTTACAAGGCATATGAATAAAAAACTTAGCGAAGAGGAATGTTATGACCAAGTCAAATGTTATAATTGTTCACAATGCTTCATTAATACGATTATCAAGAACAAATGGTACTGGACTTGGAGCATGATAAGCCAACGTTTGTAAGTCAATCGTCTGAATGCAAGCTGTAACCTTATTGAATAGATATTTGATTAATGCTGGTGTTACAAATATTGCAGATATAATATAGATCAACGAAAGAATAATCAAAAGAATAATTCGTATTATAAAAGATGATCCTTCAGTTGGTGAGTGGCTAGATCGATCATATAAGATATATTTCATAATTTCTTCATAGATATTAGACCAAAGAGACGGTATCATTGAACCGGTCCACATAAAAATGATGCCTAGAAAACGAACAATTAAAAACATTGTGATTCAAACTTGTTTCGTAGAGCAAAAAGAAGTACAAGTGCAGTACAAACTACGGAGCAATCATTTTCATATTAAAGTCGGCGACAGATACTTAAGCGAACTTATTTTTTGTCTATTTTTCTCGTTGTCTTTTTTTCAAATTTTCTTAAACATTATTAAAGGAAATGGGCCTGGTTGAGAGAGTGACATAAATAATATGAAACGCCAGCTACGTGATACACCATAATGTGAGAAGACTATCTGTCTATGCAGATCTTTCCGCATAGAACTAGATTTAAATTTTTTTTAGTATTTCGTCTTTCCTAAGCAAGAAATTTGCGCTAGAATAAAAACAACATCGATTCATCAATAGTTTAACGCTCGATCTGTTTCTAAAAGAAAGGGTTTTCCTTCAGAGTTGCCTCTTACTTCAAAATCTGATTTGAATGAGAATAATTGAAAAAACTGAAAAAAGCAATTGATTCTTTTAATTTATTTCTTATCGAAGTTCATTACACGCCATTGGGAAGAGCATTCAAAATAGAACAAAATGTTGTATTTCAAGTTCTAGTATCACCAGATTGTCCATGTCCATCGTTTTAAAAAGTAATATCATGAAACAGAACTATTTTTACTTTTTAAAATTTTTTTAAACAACAAACGCGATTATTTTGTTGACTATTGTTGTTAAAATTAGATTTTTAAAGTGAAGGGCAACTCTGAAGGAAAACCCTTTTTTTTAGAAACAGATCGAGCGTGAAACTCTATCGATTAACCTATGTTGTTTTTATTCTAGCGTAAATCTCTTGACTAGGAAAGACGACATACTGAATAACATTCAAATCTAGTTTTGTACGGAAAAATCTATATAAACAGACAGAATCTCCTGAGATTGTAGCCCATTATGGAGCTAGCGTTTCATATTATCTATGTCACTCTTTCAATCAGGTTCATTCTTCCCTTTCGTAATGCTAAAGCAAATGTAAAAAGAAAAAGAACTATCAAAAAAAAATAAGTTCGCTAAAATATTTTTCGCCAACTGCACTTTGATATGACTGCTACATAAGAGAAAAATTACGATAATAAGCGTTCTAATATAAGGAATTAAATAGACACAAGGTATAACATCATCCATCTTGTTATATTCAATGGATTGCATATAGAAGAACAATTACAAGCAATATTAGAAGGCATTCATCTCTTACTGTAAAAACAAAACTTCATTATTTTGTTTTTTTATCATAGCTAATCGGATTTGTGGATCTGAATAAACCTATCATCGAAAAAAGAAACATATAAGTCAAATCCATGAATATTCAACAGATAATTCTCTGTTTTTCTCATAATAATTAATAAATAAACTTACTTCCGATTACAGCAAACCAATTTGAATATTTCGATTTATTTGATGAAGATGATAATGAACGATTTCGAGAAGCTAGAAAACAAAAGCGAAAGCGATAGATGTGATAATAAATCTCGAATTCCACTGATTTTCATACGATCTGCATATATTACATCGTAGACAATATTTGGATTCCATTCCCAGCGAAAATTTCCGTTAACATCTTTTGGTATTCTAACAAAATTGAAAGCATATTTTTCGTGATATTCTCTTAGTTGTTCAATAACATACGAAACAAATTTATTCGAATCACTATTTTTATAGATTAAGCCAGTGGCACCAGGGAATGTTGCAACAAAATAATTTGATGGAACAACATTGTCTGGACTAATTACCAATTGAACAATAGCCTTTTTACTATTGTCATAGATGTCAACGTAATTCATATTTCAGGATGAATCTAAACACATTCAATATTGATTAGTATAGAGAATATGCCAAAGTTATCAATATACCTATTCAATAACAGAAAAATAATTTAATTGCTGTATTCTCAATGAAATAACAAAAACCGAAATTCCACAACCACAAGAACAATCGATACAATCAATATCTGAAAATAAATAATTCAATAGACTAAAATTGAGTAATGTATTTTTTTTCACAAGATTGAGGACACCAGTAAAAATTGATCTTATTGACATTTTTTCTCGGGAGATTATGAGTAGTATGTGGTCACTCATTGATCAAATAAAAGTATCAAGAGAATTAGTGCATAAGACAGCATCCTTGTGTAGCGAATAAAAACAAAGGTTGCAAATGAATCAATCAATAATTTACTTTATTGCGATTGATTAATCATTTTGATCCAATGACAATTAATGACATGCAATATTATTCAAACACTCTTGTATATCAGTGCCATCTGTCCAATGGTCCTGTCACACAGNACTCGATATTACTCGTGATAGTTCGCCCCCTTAAAAAACTTTTGTATGACCTCCCGGCAACTGAATTTGCCCTCCCGGAGTGAAAAACCTAGATAAAACACTGGACAACAGCCTATAAGATTTATAAAAATTGGCTGTGAGTGTGATTTCTCTTTCCAACCACACTCACATTCAAAATTTACCTACGAGTAATTAGAATTATTCAATGTTTCAATGCAAAATTAAACATTTTCCAAAGATTTCTTTTTGGAATAAATTTTCGTTTAGTATGAGATTAAAAACTATGAAACCCAATGATGCGACCGGTTCGGTTTCAAATATTGGAAACCGCGCGATTTCATCTAAATATATATTCGAATATAAATGTTAACCTGTTCATTCAAAGTGAATGGAGAAAGTATTGCACATTTTTATGGCTTATTCAACTGTTTCATAAATCTTCAGAGACGAGCAATAGTTTTGTTCATCATTCAGTATATACTTTTACAGGCAATCTTTTAGTAACAAGCGCTAATATTCACACAAATATTAATTGATTATCAATTTTCATTACTTTTCAGCTGACTAAATAAACATCGCTTTGTTTTAAAGTTCAAAATTATCTTCAAAATATTGCAATAAAGTTAGAAAAAATAATCTAATTAACATTTCAAAATGGATAATTTTCCTGAGTTTTTTTAGGCCTTTCAAGTTTAGCCAGTCATAGTAGTTATTACTTTTTAAACTGGAAGAAACGAAATGAAATTTAAAATTTTGACAAAATCCTTATATCTTGTAGAACTACACTTTCATTTTGAATAGATGCGTTTTCCATCATCAGTACGCTATTATTTTCAAGTGCTTCATCACTCCGAAACGATAAACTAACGAAGTACATAACAAAGACGGAAAAGCATAACATATATAAATTATTTCTTGAAACTTAGACTATATGACATTTTCAAAGAACATCATTCAAAGAATAAGAACCTGCTAGTTAAAACAAGTTCTGCTTTTTGTACTTTATGACGAATGAAAATGTAGTGAATCGTTCCTGGCTAACAAAAAAATGGATACAAATCAACTAAACATACGCTGCAGGTTTTTTTCAATGGAAAGATATTTCTAAAATAAAAGCAACATACGTATCCTTTTAACATTGTTCGCAGCTCAGTATTCTGGTTTGCGCTTAGTACTATAGAAAGTGTTATAATAATGTCTTTAATATATTGTTCTAAGTGCATATTCTAGAAAACAACGAGAAGTGGACATTTTTTTTCTTTATTATTTAACCGGCTCGGTTCGGTTCCAAAAAAACATGAACCAATTCCATCACGGAAGTATTTATACAATTTTGTTCAAAATAAAATTCTCTACCAAATAGTTTATCAATTGGCACTGAAATAATTAAAGGGTCCTTGCGAAAAACAAGGATGTATGTCTCCTGTTGTTGTTGTTGTTGTTGTTTCCAAAAGGCATCATGCTGATTATCTTGCAAAACAACTTAATAAAATAAAATGTATAGAAACTATTATTAACATTCCAACTGTAATAACTATAAGTGTCACTTGAATACAAGTTCACTTTCTAATTGAGCCAAAATAGTCTCAAAACTTCTTACATCTGTTTTTTAACTTAGAGATATATTATACGCCTTTCTTAAATTGATATATATGTGCAGTTTTTCAATCTTGACTATATGTATCACCCAATATACATGATCATATTTTGATGTAATTTTATATTGGTTACTGTACAACTAGTATTACTTTCTATGGATATTCAACTTTTTCTCTATGCTTTCTTCTTACATATAATATAATAAGATACAATACTAGTCAATACGTCCAAGGATTCGAGAACTCTTTCTTAAACCGTTCACTGTAAGAATAATAAGAGAATTCAGGTAAAATTTTGGTTTTATAATTTATTTATTTATTTATCTTGTCAAAAAACCAATACGAAATAGTTGTGATTGACGAAGATTATAAGGAGGAATGCTCTGCATAAAAGGTGAAATTTCGTTGATGGTTCTAATCAATATACGAACTTGAACGGGTGTCATATGCGTCAAACTTCAAAAATTATGTCTTACATTAGAAATTTTTAAATTGCAAACATTTCATACTGTATTAATTCATGTTCGATTGTAATAATTAACCATTCTATAACACATATGATAGATACTACTATTACTGTAACGAGTTCACTTTGATAATAACGACATGTACTATACGATAGTATACGCACATGCAATTAAGAAGCTATAGCAAATTTCTTTTTTTGTGCGCTTTTTTCTTTTATTCTTCTCTAGTTGCTGCTACTATAGATCAGTAATCAACGACAGAGACGAATTGACTATAGGTATGAATAGAAAAAAATTACAAATCTACACTCACAGCCACACTCTACTTTTTCATTATTTTGATTTACGAGGAGAATTATGTTTTACTTCTATTTCATAATATACATCTTTATTGAGATATAGGGGTCATTCCACCAGAAATCGCCAGGTCCATCCGGCGACCACACCCAAATTCCTTAAGACTTTCATGGTTTGTAGAGAATTTTTCGCTGATCATTTTGATAATAAATTTTTCTAGAAAAAACTCTTTTTTTGCAAAGATNATATGACTATGAATCATATTTTTTGCTGACGAATCGGAAATTTTCACTAACATAATTGAACTCCATTATGCACAAAATAATTCACTTATCGATTGATATATAATCCAATCAAAACAGCTTTCGTTTCAAAGCGAAGTTATGACTAATAAATTCAATTTTCAAAGACGTCAACGAAACAAGCTGTAAGCATCTATCCAAGTCCAGACTATAAACATTTATTCATAAATGTTTCCAACAACTATTGCCTTTGCAATGATAAATGCGGATGAAACTAATTAATGAATATTGTAGGGCAAATTGTGCTCAATCGAATTCATGACGTTCTTATTCTGCATTATTTACTTTTCTGTTCAATTCGAAACTTTTTTTCATCATTTCTTTTCCCCGGTATCTCACGTATGATAAGATAGACATCATAAGAATATGTGAAAATATATAAATTTCACAGAAATGCTGCCACAGTTTTTTATGCACAATCAGCATATTTAAGTAGCCTTTTAATTTCCATAAATAGCATTACACTATCAGTTTGTTTCGGGAAAGAAATATCGTTTTTTTATGCAAAATTCCAAAAGGAGGTAATAGTGACTGATAATATTTGACCCATATCGCAATGAAAATAAAAGTGAACATCAAAGAATTTATTATGAAAATGATGAGCATAAAAAGCACTACAAGTGCGCTGAAAGTCGCAAATAGTGATTGGACCAAGCGGTCAGATTTTATGAATGAATTAATCAAAACTTTTCTGAAAAAATACAGTTTAAAGTGTTGTGGACACGTTTTGCTTCCTGAATTTAAAGTGGGGGCTGAAAAAAGTAGTGCATCTTGTAGAGAAAATTTTTCTGTATCGAACTGGCAACGCCAATATTCTGGTTCATCGCAGCTTATTGAGAAAATGTTTCAAACAATGTTTTTTCTGGTGAATCGATTGGATCATAAAATTTTCTTCAAAATTAGTCTGATTTCTATGAATTCTGATGCAGTTTTTCACGAGGAATCTGAATATGTGGTTGGCTTTAAAATTCGAGTTAAAAAAAGGGGACTTTCATAATTTTTTCGAAAAAAATCCATTTTTTTTTGAAAAAGTGCCTTTTTTGTATTTAACCTCTATCTTTGCAAAAAAAGAGTTTTTTCTAGAAAAATTTATTATCAAAATGATCAGCGAAAAATTCTCTACAAACCATGAAAGTCTTAAGGAATTTGGGTGTGGTCGCCGGATGGACCTGGCGACTTCTGGTGGAATGACCCATAGTCTGTTACCGCAATACAATAAAATATCTGTCATTATTGAGTTTCTACTTTTCGCTCTGATATTCCAAACAAATGATGAATGAGACAGATTTGATGAGATATGTCGTGCTTATGTTTGCTTTTAATATTTGATCAAATAAGCTTCGAATAATTCGGTATGAATCCGAGTGACATATGAATAAACCGTTGGACATATATTTTTCAAGCGTGATTTCATTTGCATCAGCGTCGCTTGATAATGAATGACAGGTAAATGAACACTTTAAAAAGCTTTATACTGCTCCATGTGTCATACATCTTTCTGAGTCTTCCCTCGATGACAAAACACATTCAATGCGATTTTTCATTAGCCCATCAGAATTTAAAATTGCGCATAACTAAAATTTTGATTTTAATATTTATTTTAAGATGATATTGAGTTTGTGTCTTCTCTTCATGCACAATTATAGTGTCATTCGCACATATACACACTCAAATATTCCTGAAGCAGCGAATGCTTTCAAAAGACAACCAATTTTTCGGGTACTAACTATTTTTGTGTACTTGAGCTACGTCTCACTTGCGAACATAAAATAAATCAAGTTTATGCATAAAGAAATCATTAGAAAATTTCGGTTGACTTCCAATGTTCCAATTTTATTAGTTTATTATAGAACGATTATATTTAGCAGATTCGAAAAATATTTTGAAATGAAAACACATACACAAATTGAAATACTTGTTAAGAATTTCAATTTCAAGTTATTCTTACTTTCGAAATGATTATTCCAATATGTAGAGGACGTAACCAGATGATAAGTAAAGCTTTCTGTAATTTGTAGACAACGTAAGTATTCTATGAAAGAAAGTTTTCGAAATAAATAATATTTTTACAGTTTTTTAGCGTACGCTAAACAGTTGCTTAATAGTTTGGTTTTCAATGGACCTCAATTTGAAAAGAACGCAATGATGAGATTAAACAAAGTGCGTAACTGAGAAGCATTGTAGTAGAATAGTCTTTTACTCTTTTTGTTCTTATTGATAAAACAATACTATATATACATGAGCAAGCATTTGAAAAAATTAATGACAAGAGAAAAATATGGCAATCGAAATCAACACAGATACCGATTATTTTTGCTTTTCTGCAAAACGTATGTTCATGTACATCGATTAATTCCTATCTATGTGATGTTCGATTCTATGTCAGATAGTGTGTTCAAGTTCAACAAATAATTGTTGAAAACATGCTTGGTAATAATGGTTTCCTATGAAAAAGAATAGTGAAATTATGTATATAACGATCTCTATAAAAATGCAATCCATTTAAAAGTAAATACGAATGTAGAAATGAACGTAAGATTGTGCAGAGTAAATTCTGAAAAATAACAAAAATTTAAGTATTAAACTTTCGGTTAGTAATTCTATAAAACTTCCAATAAATATAAGTTCCCTTAAAATTGAAGTTATTATATTTTCAAGAATTTTAATAAAGAAAAATTTTGAATTGCTTGATTATTTTAGATTTAAATGATTGAAAGTAAAAGAATATTTTAAATTGAATTCAATAATTTTTGAATTTCGATTTTATGTTCGCAAATGAGGAAACACGTCTTGAAACGTCTTCGTTGAATAAAAGGCCGTATTCATAAGTACACAAAAAAACTCATTGTATCGAACTTTATACGATATTGTAATTTTACAATGAATCATTTTCTGGCAAATCTTTTGCCATGAGGTTCAACAAATGAATTTTTTTAAATATATCTTTTGAAAATTCTCGTTTACAAGGCATGTAAATAAAAACCTTAGCGAAGAGGAATGTTATGACCAAGTCAAATGTTATAAATGTTCACAATGCTTCATTAATATGATTATCAAGAATAAATGGTACTGGACTTGGAGCATGATAAGCTAACGTTTGTAAGTCAATCGTCTGAATGCAAGCTGTAACCTTGTTGAATAGACACTTGATTAATGCTGGTGTTACAAATATTACAGATATAATATAGATCAACTGAAGAATAATCAAAAGAATAATTCGTATTATAAAAGGTGATATTTCAGCTGGTGGATGGCTAGATCAATCATATAAGATATATTTCATAATTTCTTCATAGATATTAGACCAAAGAGACGATACCATTGAACCAATCCACATAAAAATTATGCCTAGAAAACGAAGAATTGAAAACATTGTGATTCAAGCTTGTTTCGTACAGTAAAAAGAAGTACACGTGCAGTACAAACTACGGAGCAATCATTTTCATATTAAAATCGGCGACAGATACTTAAGCGAACGTATTTTTTTCGATTTTTCTTAACAGTTATTTTTTTTTCAAATTTTCCTTAACATTATTAAAGGAAATGGGCCTAGTTGAGAGAGTGGCATAAATAATATGAAACACCAGCTACATGATACACCATAATGTGAGAAGACTATCTGTCTACGCAGATTTTTCCGCATAAAACTAGATTTGAATATTTTTTAGTATTTCACCTTTCCTAGCCAAGAAATTTGCGCTAGAATAAAAACAAAATAGATTCATCGATAGAGTTTCACGCTCAATCTGTTTCTAAAAGAAAGGGTTTTCCTTCAGAGTTGCCTCTTACTTCAAAATCTGATTTGAATGAGAATAATTGAAAAAAGCAATTGATTTTTTTAATTTATTTCTTATCGAAGTTCATTACACGCCATTGGAAAGACCATTCAAAATAGAACGAAATAGTGTATTTTAAGTTCTAGTATCACCGGATTTTCCATGTCCATCGTTTTTAAAAGGAATATCGGGAAACAGAACTATTTTTACTTCTTTAAAATCTTTTAGACGGCAAACGCGATTTTTTTGTTGACTATTGTTGTTAAAATCAGATTTTTAAAGCAAAGGGCAACTGAAGGAAAACCTTCTTTTAGAAACAGATCGAGCGTGAGACTCTATCGGTTAACATATGTTGTTTTTATTCTAGCGCAAATCTCTTGGCTAGGAAAGACGAAATACTGAATAACATTCAAACCTATTTTTGCGCCGAAAAATCATTTTCTAAATGAAAAATCTATATAGACAGATAGAATCTCCTGAGATTGTAGCCCATCATGTAGCTAGCGCTTCATATTATCTATGTCACTCTTTCAATTAGGTTCATTACTCCCTTTAATAATACTAAAGCAAATGTAAAAAGAAAAAGAACTATCTAAAAAAATAAGTTCGCTAAAATATTTGTCGCCAACTGCATTTTGATATGACTGCTACATAAGAGGGGAAAGTACGATAATAAGCGTTCTAATATAAGGCATTAAATAGACACAGGGTAGCATCATCCATCTTGTTATATTCAATGGATTGCATACAGAAGAACAATTACAAGCAATATTAGAAGCCATTCATCTCTTACTGTAAAAACAAAACTTCATTATTTTGTTTTTTTATCATAGTTAATCGGATTTCTGGATCTGAATAAACCTATCATCGAAAAAAGAAACAGATATAAGTCAAATCTATGAACATTCAACAGAAAATTCGATTTTTCTTATCATAATTAATAAATAAACTTACTTCCGATTACAGCAAACCAATTTGAATATTTCGATTTACTTGATGAAGATGACAATGAACGATTTCGAGAAGCTAGAAAACAAAAGCGATAGATGTGATAATAAATCTCCTATTCCACTGATTTTCATACGATCGGCATATATTAGATCATAGACAATATTTGGATTCCATTCCCAACGAAAATTTCCATTAGCATCTTTTGGTATTCTAAAAAAATTGAAAGCATATTTTTCGAGATATTATCATAGTTGTTCAATAACATACGAAATAAATGTATTCGAATCACTAGCTTTATAGATTAAGCCAGTGGCACCAGGGAATGTTGCAATAAAATAATTCGATGGAACAACATTATCTGGACTAATTACCAAACGAACAACAGCCTTTTTACTATTGTCATAGATTCCAACGTAATTCATATTTCAGAATGAATCTAAACACATTCAATATTGACTAGTATAGATTATATGTCAAAGTTACCAATATACCTATTCAATAACAGAAAATTAATTCAATTGCTGTATTCTCAATGAAATAACAGAAACCGAAATTCCACAGCCACAAGAACAATCGATAGAATCAATATCTGAAAATAAATAATTGAATTGACTACAATTGAGTAGTATACTGTTTTTCACAAGATTGAGGACACCATAAAAAAATAGATCTTATTGACATTTTTCTCTGGAGATTATCAGTAGCCTGAGGTCACTTATTGATAAAATAAAGGTGTCAAGAGAATAAACGCATAAGAGAGTATCCTAGTTGAGAGATTAAAACAAAGGTTGCAAATGAATCAATAACTTACTTTATTGCGATTGATTAATCATTTTGATCCAATGACAATTAATGACATGCAATATTATTCAAACACTCTTGTATATCAGTGCCATCTGTCCAATGGTCCTGTCACACAGGCTGACTGCCATGCTACTAAAGTCAAATGACAACAGTCTATACGATTTATAAGAATTGACTGTGAGTGTGATTTCTCCTTTCAACTACATCCACATTCAAAATTTACCTATAAACAATTAGAATTATTTAATGTTTCAATACAAAATTAAACATTTTCCAAAGATTTCTTTTTGGAATAAATTTTTGTTTAGTATGAGATTAAAAACTATGAAACCCAATGATGCGACCGGCTCGGTTTCAAATATTGGAAACCGCGCGATTTCATCTAAATATATATTCGAATATAAATGTTAACCTGTTCATTTAAAGTAAATTGAGAAAATATTGCACATTTTTATGGCTTACTCAACTGTTTCATAAATCTTCAAAGACGAGCAATAGTCTTGTTCATCATTCAGTATATATTTTTACAGGCAATCTTTTAGTAGCAAGCGCTAATATCCAAACAAATTTTGATTGATTATCAATTTTCATTATTTTTCAGCTGACTAGATAAATATAGCTTTGTTTTAAACTTCAAAATTATCTTTAAAATATTACAATAAATTTAGAAAAACAATAATCTGATGAATATTTCAAAATGGTTAATTTTTCTGAGCTTTTTATATCTTTCAAGTTTAGCCAGTCATAGTAATTATTATTTTTTAAGCTGTAAGAAACGAAACGAAATGAAATTTAAAATTTTGACAAAATCTTTATATCTGGTAGGACTACATTTTCATTTTAAGTAGATGCGTTTTCCAACATCATTACTCTTATTTTCAAATACTTTATCACTTCGAAATTATAAATTAAACAAGTACATAACAAAGACGGAAAAGCATAACATATATAGATTACTTCTTAAAACCTATAGACTATATGACATTTTCAAAAAACTTCATTCAAAGAATAAGAGCCCACCAGTTCAAAAAAAAATTCTGTTCTTTGTGCTAAATGGTGAACGAAAATGTAGTGAACCACTATTGATTAACAAAAAAAAATGGATACTTATCCACTAAATATACGCTGCAGATTTTTTTCAATGGAAAGATATTTCTAAAATAAAAGCAAAATACGTATCCTTTCAACGTTGCTTGCAGCTCAGTATTCTGGGTTGCGCTTGGAACTATAGAAAGTGTTACAATAATGCCCTCAATAAGTTGTCCTAAGTGCATATTCTAGAAAACGACGAGAAATGGACATTTTCTTTCTTTACTATTTCATCGGCTCAGTTCGGTTCCAAAAAGACATGAACCAATCCCATCACTGAAGTATTTATACAGTTTTATTCAAAATTTCATTCTCTGCCAAATAGTTTATCAATTGGCACTGAAATAATTAAAACATCCTTGCAAAAATCAAGGATACATGTCTCTCGTCATTGTTTCCAAAAGAGATCATGCTGATTATCTTTCAAAACAGCTTAACAAGATAAAATGTATAGAACCTATTATTAACATTCCAGCTGTAATAACTAAAAGTTTCACTTGAATCCAAGTTCACTTTCTAATTGCAGTTTCTCAATATAGACTTTATGTATCACCCAATATACATGATCATATTTTGATGTAATTATATTGGTTACTGTTCAACTAGTATTACTTTCTATGGATATTCAACTTGTTCTCTATGCTTTGTTCTTGTATATAATATAATAAGATACAAAACCAGTCAATATGCTCAAGGATTTATTTGAGAATTTTTCGTTAAATCGTTGACTTTAAGAGCAATATGAGAAGAATTTCACGTAAAATTTTCATTTTATTATTTATTTATTATTTAGAAACAAAGTGCGAGTTTCATAAAAATTTCTATCTCCATATAAACTACAGATCAGAAGTTTTATTATGGATCTTAAATGTCAATTTAATATATAATGAATATTTTATTTAATCACAAAAGAAATGTTTATCGTAGAAATGCGAGCCAAAAAGCCATTGTAGCACATGAGATCGCAACAACAAGAGATAGACGAGTACCAATAATAGACGCTAAAATTAGAAACGAAATATTTGAAAAAAATAAAATAAAAACAAATAGAAAAACCTTTATAAAAAATTCCAGCAAATCCTTTCTTTTCTGAGAAAAACCATTCACGTAGTTTAGGCACACGACGCATATAACCACATGTACATATTGTCAATAGAACAAAGACAATCAAACCATCAAACGAATATGCTTAAGAAAGAGATAAATAAGAGAAAAGCTTGTTTTTTTCTCAATTTGAAGAAATATTTTTGTCTTTAACTTTACCATTGACCATTTCTCTTTATTCGCTTGTTTTATTTTTTGTTAAAGTATTTATCTGAAACAAGAAAAGAAGAAAAACAAAAATGTTTATTTATTTAAAAAATATTTTTCTAGAGTATCAATAATGAGACCAAACGATATAAATGATGAATAATCTTCTTTATGAATAAATAATTGTGCACTTTTTAAAAGAAATTCTTCATTATTTTCAATTTGGTTTAAAACTTTGCTTTTATCTTCATGAGATAAATTTTCATTTAAATAATAATCGAATAATGAAGCATTTATCGATAATAAATCATTAATACGATGTTTTTCGATTGACATTAATAAAAATTCTTTATCAATCAATAATTTAGACTAAACGAAAAATTAAAATTTCCTACAATAACAAAAAGAACTAGAAATTTACTGAAGATTGAAATAGTAAATTGGCTAATGATGATATTGGATTTATTAACCATATTTTATATGCATAAGATGCCAGATCTTTTGAATTATATAAATATTCTATTAATGAACTCGTTTCCTAAATTGAATTCAAAATAAAATAATTTTTAATCAAGCACTTCGATCACTTATTCAAATGTTAAATATGCGACTTATTCTCCGAATCATCGTACTTCGAGTCATATTAATTGAGTTAATTTTTCGAACAGAAAATGCTATGAACCAGACATGAGAAGAGTCCTATTCTGTCCTATTCTCTCCTGCCCAATGCACATCTCTAATTTTAGTTTTCATGTTAGATCTGAATATGATAGTTTTGAGAGTTTATACATTTTTTGAGAGTCTGTATTGCCTTCACATAATCATTGGATAATAAAATGTCGTATAACCATATCAATTGAAATAAACACATAATAGAACAACTCAAAGTTTGTATAGAACATCGGAAAAATTATGATCAAGTCGAATAAAATCAAAATTCTACTTACTTCTTCATTACATTGAACAATATTTTCGGTTAATATTCTTTCCCAATCAGAATTTTTTTCTATCATTGATACAATTAGTTCATTTTTTAAACTTAATCCATGTATTCTAAAACAATAAAAGAAAGAAGAGTTTCAGGTAATAAAATTTTTTGTTTTTTGCAAGTGCAACCCTTTCATATTGTTAATCTGTTCTTTTGACCAAATATTATTGAGAATTTGTATGAGAGATTCAAAATGAATAAGTCGTTCAGCTTGTAAAAGATATTTTTGAAAAAGTTGACAACGATTTTCATCTGTGAGAATATCTTCTTTTACTAACTAATATTTAAAAAAAATATTCAAGAATAAAACTAAAAAGAATTTAATTAATAAATTTACTTCAATAAATGAATGAAATGATGAAAGTAAAGTAGATAAACGATATTGTTCAAATAATAAAAGATCATCTGATTGTAAACCTTGTTTATCAAACATCTAATTCAAATGAAAAATTATTTAAAAATATTTAATAATAATCTTCAAAGAAACTGTTACTTTATCAAGTTTATCAATTAATTTATATCGAATATGTCGATCAACTGTTTCCGAACGACACATTTGTTGTAAACAAGAGAATAAATCTTTTTTATTAATATCATCAATTGATATACTTTCTAATAAATTATTTAATAATAAATCATCATCGTCATTACCAGATCTTGAATAAAAAATAAAAGAAATCGTTTTTATTGATTAGTTTTTAATTCTAAAATTTGTTTTACTTTATTTGCTGATTAAATTTTTCAATAGCTGATTGTAAAATTTTATAAATTGAAACATGAGGATAAATATTGTTTATTAAATAAATAATTAAATAAAATTGTCCATATTTAAATAATAAATTAGATAAAATATCTTGTAGTTGCTCTTCTATATTTTCAGATTGATCTAATTGAATTAATTCAGCTTGAGAATAATTTGAAGAAAGTTTCGATAAAACTTCAAGATTTAGTAAACGCTTTTCTAATATATCTTCTAATGTTTTCCGTTGTTGATCTTCTTTCGAACGAATAATTTCTATTATAGATTGAATTATTTTCATTCTTGCACTAATTGAAAGACTATTTTTTGATGATAAAAAATGATTAGCAAATGAATAAAAATCTTCAAATGATATTATCCGATTTAATAAATCAAATATTAATGATGATGATGGATTATATTTTAAATAATATGAATAAATCCAACTTGAACTAACTGTTAATGATGAGGAAACTTTAATTTGATCAAGAATTAAGCCAAGATTAATTATATTTGAATCATTTGCATATTTTTCAACGAAAAGTTCTGGTGATGAGAGAAACAGTTTATAATCGAAATCTAAACATTAAAAAAAAGGATAATTAATTAGGAAGAATTGCTGCTCAAGAAAATTTTCAAATTAAATTAAATTCGATTTTTAGTTAAAATATGTCGTCAAATAAAAATTCTTTGTATCTAATAAGTTATCAAAAACATTAAAAGTTCATCATTTCTTTTAAGTTTTAAAAATTCTACAAACAATATCTATTAGCGAAATTTTACATTTTACTCAAGTCTAAGAAGATCTTTTTCAGTGTAAATATCTTTAATTGATTTCATCAAATCAAAAATTTTAATTCGGTTAAATCCTAATCGAATTATGATCGTTATAGAAATGTTCGATACATCATACAGACATATGAGTGTTACTATTTCGGATGAAATCAAAACGTTATTTTTGGATATAAAAATAAAAATTACCGTTATTAAGAATATTAATTAGTTGTTGAATAGCTTGAATATGTTTTTGTGCATGTGTTAAATCTCCTAAAGATTTTTTAATATCATAAAAAAGCTTTAAACGTTCATAATCTTTTCCGTCAATTAAAGGAAAAACATTTGTATGTAATCGTTTAACTAATTCTAATTTATTTTGTCGATTTCTTTTTAATCTTTCAGAATTTAAAAATGGTTTAATTTTTTTTCGTATTTCATTTATTGATAGATTTGAATTTGTTAATAAATATTCAAAATATGAATGATGACATTCATCGATTGAAATATTATATTTCACAGCTAATTGTTCACCATATTCAAATGAAGGATTATCACACATAAATAAACCAATTACTGTTAAATGACGATATTCACTATCATTTTGAAAACGACTTAAATCAATTGAATTATCTAATTGATTTAATATTGAATATTGACGATTTTCTACTAAACGAGTATAATTCTCATTATTTTCAACTAGAGCTTTATTAATTATCATAGATGGTATTGCATTTATATTACGAGGTATCGTAGTTTTCATTAATGATTGACAATAAATTGATAATTGCAATGCATATTCATTATCTTTTACGATTAAAATATCGTTCTAAAATAAAGAAAAGAAAAAAAGGAAAACCATTCAAAGCCGAGAACGTAAACAATTGAATTGCAATTGATGCAGCTAATTGGGTGGAGCAATGATTTTAACCTGTCTTAGACAAAGGTAATCAGAAATAATTTTCATATACGTATTTTAAAAGTACGATTTCATTCATACACGATTTCTCATCATATGTAAACAGAATCGATTGCAAACTTTGTTTTAGTCAAAGCAAACATTACTCTAAGAGATATATCTATCTTGTTCTTCTATCTAACGTTAGATTAGTTTCCTATTCATTTGGATCTAAAGATCTGATTCAATTTAGCCAAGTTTGTTTCGTTCATGTGTCGGTGAAGATATACGCTGTCCGTTTCAAATCTTTTAATCGTTACTAGAGTCTTGTGTCTGTATAAATCAAAGATAGATACCATCATAGAGTATTTAACTTTGAGAAAATCCATATGAGATCTATTTTCTGGGACGAACATTAAACTTACATTTGTATTTGATGATAAATAAATCATAATAAATAATGGTGTATCAATATTAACATATTTTATTGCACTTTTCTCATCTTAAATATAATTTCAGTTTAAAATTTTCTATATTTGTTTTGTTGATACTTACCAATTGGTGGAGATTTTAACAAAGGAATTTCTTTTAAGTCCATCTAAATATTTCAAAATCAAAAACAAAAATTATAAAAGAAAACGAAAAAAACCTGTTGAGAATAATCTCGATCATAAAATGAATTTATATAATATGAATAGGTTGATGTTACTTTATATTCTTCCTAAAATAAATTATATTTCAAATTGAAAAAAATAAAAATAAATGAAACAAACAATTGGTATGGATTGATCTCGAATAGAAATTGATTTTTTAAGAACATCATCTAAAAGAATTTCATCACAATGAAGACCAATAAATGATAATATTGATTCATTCATATAGGATGGATTTTTATTAATTAATTCCCAACAACATTTCCATGATGGACCATAGTTTTCTTCAATTAACGAAGAACATAATTCCCAACACATATTTAAATCATTGATCTTTTAAGAATAAATTCAAACTTTTAAATTCGTCATTAAATTGAAAAAATTCTTGTTAGATTAACTTTTTCTCTGTAAATCATTTTTCTGCACAATTCAGATTCTTCAAGAAAAACGATAAGATAATAAATACTTGAACGAAATCTATTTCTAGGTGTACTTTGAATTTTTGAGGCATCAAAATTCTTATTAGTTCATCATCTCTATTAAAAATCTGAAAAAAAGAATTTCCTTTTCAGATTTTGTTTTGTTCTACTTGAAATCTAAGTTGATTTTACGTAGACAGTCAATTACGTAATGTTGAGGAACGAAATCTTCATCAATAATGTACGTAAGAAAAAGAACAACGAACCGCTTGTTTCAACAAGACTCGTAACTTGAGAAAACATGAATATCAATTTATGATAGACAAATGGAAAGTGACATGTTACGAGACATTAGCAAATTTCAAATATATATTTTATTTCATATTGAACTAATGATTATGAGATAGATATACTATGTATTTTGATTTAGCTGAAAAAATATTTGACTAAATTGTATATGAAATTGAGGCAAATTCTATGTTTGGATTTTATAAAATTTCAATTAGATAGTTCTCGGATCATTGGAGGGTTTTAATTTGGTTCGAAGTAAGAAAAAGAATTACTTTAAGACAATGTTCAGCGATACAAAGTATACATCGATCTTTTTTATCTTGTTTATTTCCAATTTCAAGATTTAATGATAATGATATTAACTAAAAAACAAGAAAAATAGATAATTTTAAAAGTAAAATAAATTCTTTGTACTTTGCTTGTATTTTTATATGCTTGAGGATTTGAAGTAAGAATTGCAGAAATTATTTGTATTGGATTTGGATGACGGCGAACTTAATGAGAAAACAAAAGTTTAACTTATTAATATGTTAATACGAAATTTACTTTCAAGAGGCGTTATTGAATAATGAAAAAAATCACAAATTATTTGTGATTCAATTAGATTTCGTTCATTTACTACTAATGATGGATCATCGATTAAATCCAAACAATGTCTAAACAAAAAAAGAGAAAAAAACGATGAAGATTTAATAAATAGAATAGTATATTTTTATTTTACTTTGCAAGAAGAATACTCTTATCTTGTCCATTTTTAGCTGAATCAATATAATCTGTTGCTGCATGAATAATCAATGGAATATGAAAACGTAATAACATTGATCGAACGATTTGAAAGCATTCAATACTACCCGATTTTAAAAGACTTGAAACAAATAACTAAATGGCAAAAGAGCAAATTGCTTTACTTTTAAAAAACTATTTTTTTCAAATTTTACATTCGAAAGTGTTTGTGATGACAAACGATGACGACATATTCGTTCAAGATCATGATAAAGTTGATTACCAATTGAAATATTCATTTTATTCATTCTAAAATATTTCATTTATCAATATATAAATTTGTTGAAAGAAAACAGTGTTCAGTATGATACAGAAAGATTCTGCACTCAGTGAACTTAACTTGATATACTATATCTATTGTTGATCATGCTATTTACGTCGTCAAATGAAAAGAATCTTTTTATTATACAAGATTGCTTCGTAAAGTAAAACGAAAAATCGTTGAGTTGAATGTTTTTATTAATAACTTACTCTTCTTTGATAGCTGACTGAATAAGAAAAACAATTGCATTTGATAAAGATTCTTCAGATTCCTTTTTATAGAAATTTCTATTTAATTAACAGTGAAGTTTTGTGTTTTTAAACATACCAAAATTCTAATCATCTCCGATGGAATCATTGGAATTGACCATTTGATAAAAATTCGACATGATCTAGAAATGAAAAATATGAAAAAAAAGAAAAGAAATTGTAACAGTATTACTCAATGATATGTTCAAAATCTTGTTTATCATTGATCAGTGTTAATAATTGTTGGCATATCGATATTTGATTAATTGAATTGATATTTAAAATTAATTCTGTAATTAATTGATGAAAATAATCTTGCTTAAATATTGATTTTAATTGAATCGAATTAATTATTGGATAAATATCAAAATCATTTTGTAATTTTTTAATTAAAACTTTCTTTAAATATTCATTTGATTGTTGCATTAAATCAATTGATGGTATTAAAACTTGCTGAATTCTTTTATCAATATCTTCTTGATTTGAATTATATTTAAATGTTAATATTAAATCAATTATTGTTTCTTCATTGAATTCTTTTATTTGTATTAAAGTTAAATCTTGATCAGATATTTTATTTAATAAGAATTCAAGATAAAGATTATTGTAAAGTGAAGATAATTCTTTGAGATTTTCAATTTCTATTGCATATTTACATAATTGAAGAGCATTTTCAATAAAACCAAATGATTCAAATGAAAAAATTCGTTTATTAAACCAGTCAATAAATAATGTTCGATTATCTTCTTGTTTATTTTCTTCATACGAACAGATAAATTCATCAGTCCAATCGTCTTCTTTTCGATCAATTTGCTTTTCTTCAATGAAACAGTATTTTGGAATTAAATCTTCATATTCAGATAATGGCACCGTTTCAGATATTTCATCTAATATTGTTAAAACATTTATTGGTGATATTGATGGAATAGCACGTTCTATAACTAATCGTATTCCATTTAAATGTCCTTCCTATAAATAAATAGATTTAATAAAGATCAATGCAGTTTTTATAGGCGATAATATCAACATTGAATTATGTTTTATTTCCTTCTAAGATAATGATTCGAATCTGTTGGATAACTCACAACATCAGATTTGAATATTTCAGATAGAATATTTTCTAATGATGATTTCTCTATTAGAAAGTTAATCAACATAATTTTTCTTTTTATCCTTCGAAATGTGTTAGATTTTTCAAAAGAAAACATGATATTTCAATTGAAAATAGAAGTGTGACTGTATGAAATACAAAATTTTCAAGAAATAAATCTGTAAAGTTCAATGAATAATGATCATAGAACAGAAACTAGAGTGAAGAATTTGGAAAATAAACAAATATTTTCTTACTCTTGCACATCTCAATGCAATTTGTTTATAATCCCATAGACGAAATTTTTCAAATATATTAGATTGATATGATTGAAATATTTTATATTTATTAATAAGATCGTCATATAAAAATAATTTTCTTTTTTCATCCAATAATTTTCTTCTATAAAGTAAAATTTGTTTTTGTGAGATATTTAAAGGGATTTCTTTTGGTTGAACATCTTTTAAATATAAATTTTCATCATAAATCGTTTGAAAAAAAGATTGGTCTGAATAATATAAATTATTAAATAATTGTTTTCTTGTTGCTTGATTGAGACCAAATTTAATTAAATCGTATTGTTCATTAAATGTTGAATATAAAATAGTTGTGCATAACTGAAGAACATGAAGACGTGATTGAATTCTTGTTAAATGTGCACCCAATTGTGATGATGATAACGTTAATGCTTTTTCATGGATTTGATCAGATAAATCAGTTCGATTAAATACTTTACAGATACGTAATGCTTCACCAAATTCACCATTTGAAACTAAATTTTCAATTAAACGACAAGGATCACTATGTTCAATTAAAATTAATTTTTCATTAATTAATTCATTTGAACCTTTTAATGCACGAAATACACGAAATATAATATTAGAATTTTCTTCTTCATTTTCATCATCATTTATTTTTGTTATTTGAAAATCAATTAAAAATAAATCATTTGACGTTCGACGACAAAAACGTGGCCATATATTTAATTGATTGGATGCATAACGATATTCTTCTAATGTTTCTTTACCTTCATGAAAACTCATCGAACCATTTGAGTAAAACAATATTAAAGTCTATAAAAGAAATTGTTTCCTTTTTATTTTTATTTTTCTTCTCATTGAAAATTCAATAAAACATACTTTATTATCCCAATAATTAAAATCACAAATAAATGATCGACTTTCGTTTATTTTTACCTAAAAATGCTTCATTTAGTTTTGAAAAAAATAAAAGAAATAAAAACAACTTACTTTTGATAAACAATGAAATTGTTCATCATTTTGATGAAGAACAATTGATTGATCAGATAATATCGATACAAGACAAGATTCATCAGGCGAAAGAACAAGACCATAGATATAGATTTCATTATGAGTTTCTTCTATTATTTGTTTTATTTGAATAACCGATGGATTTGTATCAACAATTTTCCAAACTAAAATTGACTTTGTATCAAAAGGAACAATATAAATTTGATTTTTATTTGAATCAATAATTGCACAATTTATATTAAAATCAAATTTATTTTCTGCGCATGAAGCAATATCATCACGACTCATTACATATCGAATCAATTCACCACTACGTTTCAAACATAATAAATCAATAAATCTATTTTTAAAGAAAATAATAAAAAAATTAAATAAATAATAATTAGAAATCATTTACTGAGATGCATCACTCCCTGAAAACCAGATTTCAACAAATGAATCTTCATTACGATTTAACTAAAAGAGAAAAAAAACAAAAACGATTATTTTTTCATGTCTTTATGTAATTCAATACTGTTTTTGTTGGTAATTCATGTAGTAATTGTCCATCGTATGATGAATAAACACAAACAATACCTGACCAATGCCCATAAGCTAAGAATTTTCCATTATTGGACCAAGTTAAGCAATTTAAATAATTAAATTCATCTGTTCGAGGTAAATCAAGAGGAATTTCCAATAGCACATCAGATGTAATAAGTGACATTATACATATAGTATTATTTATTACTAATGACAAACGGTTAGATCTATTTTGTTATAATTATAGAATTTATTTTAAATTTTATTCATTTGTAAACATACGGAATATGAAGCGAAATCGGAGTTGATTTTTCTCCAATTTGTTTAAGAAATCTTTCAGCATTTGGTGAAGTTTTTATTGATGAACTAAATAGATTTATAAATTTAATGTTCTTTCTTTTTTCTTTTGGTAAACATACCCAAACCATTTTTTAAAAGCTAAAAATTTTTAAAAATTAAAACAAAACTTATCATTGAAATAGACAAAACTTACTTGAAGTCAAGGACCATAATTTATTTTCTTCTAGTGAACGAGATTTTCTTTCAAAAGACCACTGAGCTTTTTCAATTAATTCAAATAATAATTCACCGGACATTATTCTCACTTCGTTTATTACTAGTACTAACTTTATATAGTTTAGTTAACTGATTTTAACACATTATATTATATGATTATGATGATGGCAAATTTTTTTCTCATCCACAAACCACAATAATGACACAAGATGTCGCATTACGACTGTCGAGAAAATTTATTTGTCCGTTCACTGTCAGTTGTTTCTAAATATCATAGGCATTAGTTTTAGAAATTTTATAACTCCATCCAGAGAGATGGATGGGATAGCTCAGTTTCAACAACATCTTAATCTCTTTCTTGTTTTAATCAAACTTCCTTGTGATGTATGGTTGTGTAGATATGAGAGTGTACCTTGATGACTGAAGTTGTGAGGAGTTAGGTGTCTGTGAAACAAAGACACACAGACATCCGCATGTGTAAACAACTTTTACGAATAAATCATCTTTATTGATCATAGAAGATATTGTGTATTACATACTATATTTATTTCGCTAGTTGACGGGAAAATGGAAATATCTCATAGATTGAATTTTATCAATATGAGTTTTCTCTGGCGAATTAATAATACGTTGCAATTCAATAAAAGATTTGTCAGATCATCTCTGATGTATAGATTCGTAACGAGACATTCTTAATCAAATATCTTATATGATATTAATACAATATGGAATAGTCTATTCGATGCAATATTCAATGATAAAAAATTTCAAATTTGAAAAAATCTCAGGGTAAGAGTAAATCAAAAGATATACAAAAAAAGAAAGTAAGCTATTGGCGTACTTCGGAAACAAGTTTTGTTAATTTTTTCAAATGAAATATTGTTCGATTCGATTCTTTATTTGTATGATATATTACATTCTTCAATCGTTTGAAAACGATATTTGAACAAAGATCAGTTCAACGATAATAAGAAAAAGCTATCATTTTCATTTTTCATCAATGATTCAAAACATCAAACAAATTCCCATTTCTGTTAATCTTAAGATTAGTCCGCATTCATAGAAAACTATCTTAAAGAATCATTATAGAAACAAAATAGTGATGCTATTTTACAATAGAATAATGAAAGGGCTCAATTATAGTTAATTTTGTTTTATAGATTCAAATATCTTTTTCTTTTTTTAGTTAGTATTCACTTATTCGTATGTCTAAACATGTTAGATGATGATGATGTAGATTCGGTAGCTTTTTTTCTGTTCTATTGAATCAAATATTGAATAGAACTTTTTTATGAGTAACACTTATATATGGAATTGCCGAGAGTCCAATAGACTTAATATACGTATTTGTGTATATGATGCATTGTACATATTGAAAAAAATCCTAATTATTTTCTTCGAAATATAATTTAGAAAAAAAGAAACGTAATCAATATGAATGAGAATTTTAGTTTCAATATTTTTATTTTGTTTCAAGGTCACCAGCATCTTCATCATTTTCTTCGTCACCTTCTGCATCAATAACTGCTTCTTGATATTGCTGATATTCACTAACAAGATCATTCATATTCGATTCGGCTTCAGTGAATTCCTATTTAGAAAATAAAACAATATGTTTTCAAAATTAAAATAAATTAAAATTTAACAAACAATTTCATCCATTCCTTCACCAGTGTACCAATGAAGAAAAGCTTTTCGACGAAACATCGCTGTGAATTGTTCAGCGACACGTTTCCATAAATCAATCATAGCTGTTGTATTTGCTGAAGAAAACAAAAACAAAGTAATTTAGTGAGAAAAATTCGATTAGTTCTATTCAAACCAATAAATGTTGCTGACATTTTAAGACCACGAGGTGGAATATCACATACAGCTGTTTGAAGATTATCTGGAATCCATTCAGCAAAGTATGAATTATTTTTTTCTTTAACGTTTAACATTTGTTCTTCAACTTCTCGCATTGACATGCGACCACGAAATACAACAGCTGCTGTTAACTAAGAAAAGATTTATCAGAAAGAAGAAAAAAACCCTATATAATTGAATATATCAAAAATCTATTTTGCGTTTTTCTTTTACATATTTTCCATGACGTGGATCACAAGCAGCCATTAAATTTTTTGCATCAAATATTTGTTGAACAAGTTCAGGTACTGTTACAGCTCGGTAAGGTTGATTTCCACGTGATGTTAATGGAGCAAAACCCGGTATGAAGAAATGTAGACGAGGAAAAGGCACCATATTTGTTGCTAACTTTCTTAAATCAGCATTCAATTGACCTTAAATTAGATTATTTTACAAAAATGTTGTCTCTTCATTGTCTAACGAACCTGGAAATCTTAAACAAGTTGTTGCTCCACATAAAGCAGTTACAGCTAAATGATTGAGATCACCAAATGTTGGTGTTGTTAATTTTAATGTTCGAAAACAAATATCATACAGTGCTTCATTATCAATACAAAATGTTTCATCGGAATTTTCTAAAAGTTGATGTGCTGATAGAACACAATTGTACGGTTCAGTAACTAAATATTGGAAAAGAAAAATAATATTTTAGAAATCTTCATTTTTACTAACCTGTATCAGAAACTTTTGGTGATGGAACAACTGAATAAGTTAACATAATACGATCTGGATATTCTTCACGTATTTTTGCTATAAGAAGTGTTCCAAGCCCTGAACCACAACCTCCACCCAATGAATGAATTAATTGAAAGCCTTGTAAACAATCACATGCTTCAGCTTCTTTACGTACAACATCAAGAACAGAATCAACTATTTCAGCACCTTCGGTGTAATGTCCTTTAGCCCAATTATTACCAGCACCGGATTGGCCAAAAACAAAATTATCTGGTCGAAATAATTGTCCATATGGACCAGCACGTACTGCATCCATCGTACCTGGCTCCAAATCGACAAGAATGCAACGTGGTACATATTTGCCACCTTAAATATAACACGTGACAGACATGATGTATTCTTAGTTATTTTCAATTACTAACCAGTTGCTTCATTATAATAAACATTGATCCGTTCCAATTGAAGATCAGAATCACCATGATAAGTACCTGTTGGATCAATCCCATGTTCGTCAGAAATAACTTCCCAAAATTTGGTTCCCATTTGACTAAAGTAGTTTTTGTTTTATGGAAATAATAAAAACATGCGTTTTTACATACTTTCCACATTGGCCCACTTGAATATGAACTATTTCTCGCATTCTTTCTCTATGATGTATTTTCTATTCTACACACTTTAATTAGAAAAGTGTTCGCGCCACTAATGCTTCATTACTGTTTTATTTGTCAATTGAAGAAGTTCCGAGAGAAAATACAATTTTATGTTTTCTAGTCAACTTTATTAACCACTATCACTCTTGAGTAGAATTAATTATCTGCACTGATTCAAAATACCATGGGTTTCTGGGTTGAGGAGCTACTAATGAGTTCGACGATTAAATACTAATTTTGTTAGTTGAGTACTACTTCGTACCTTATGGCAACATTAGAAATCGATCACAATCAACAGTGGAATATGCTATGTTTTTAATATTAAGAATCCCGATATTATTCCTCAACACGGAATGCGATAGAAATTGATCAATTTCAATAGAAGTTCACCTAAACTCCAATCGCGATCTGTCTGATTGATTCTCTTGAAAAGATTGACTTTCATTTGATGAAATCGTATTATTTTCGATAAATCCTCAGAATATCTTTCAAGGTCAGGAAGTACAGGATCATATTCTGAATCAATTTTATATGCTATTTGAGCGTTAGAACTCGATTTTCGATCATGGAATATGAATGAAACTTTATTCAGTAAGATAAATGATGATTATGTTTACAGAAAAACAAAATCACAAACTATAGAATTTTTGAAGTAGTTAAATACAGCATCTTTTCAAAATGTTGGAAAGTTAAAAAAAAATTATCTTATCAAATTAATGTCATAAAGATTTTGAACTTTAAAGTGCATTGTCGTCTTTAGTGGATAAAAATGTAGATTTCGCTTTTCGACTTCTTCGATTAACTAATGATTCTTCATCCATGGATCCTAAAAGAACATTCGTTTCTTCACCTATTTCATCAATGAAGGATCGAATATCATTTATAAATGGAATATTATCTTTCAATTTAGTTATACTATCAAATAATTTATCACTATCTCCATTGTCATTGGCCACGGCTGTTTTTACATTGTAATTGATTTCTTCAAAGATATCATCATTTGAATTCTTTGTATCCCCAGCTGATTCAGTAGATAATTGATCAACCGAACTCATACCTATGTCAGAACTCCTTCCCGTTGATTGAAATATCTGAGATACTTGTTTCTCTTCAGCTTGTGTTGATATTTCTCTTGCTCGTTTTTCAATTAGTTCTTTATATGATAATGACAAATTGTTTTCTATTTCTTTATTTATTTCATCAATATTATTAATATGTAGATCATCAGATGGTAAAACAACTGGAGTAATATCTTCTATCGTTGAAAACTGATTAGATTTATCACGTTTTGCTACAGGTGATGTACTCTAAATAAGATTATCAATAATTGACGGGAAAAAAACAAGAGAGAGAGAAAATTTTTCATGAAATATTTACCGTCCAGAATTCAGCTTCATCATCAGTTATCCAAGCCAAGGTTTCAGTTTTCTTATTCCTACTTGTAATTGACATTATTGTAGAATGATTTCGATAAAAAAAAGGCGCTTTATATAATTTACACGCGCCACTTCACTCACGCTCACAGTTTGCAAATAAATGTTATACTTTCTTCTTCGTTACGATCGTTCTATACTAGAGACAAAACATTTGTTTATCTCTTGATGCGTAATGAGGAGGAGAAGGGAGCAAACATAAAGACCTAGTTGTAGCTTGCAATTATTGTATTCCCATGTGTTCCATTACGGTCAAACTGCGACGTAGTTACGCCGTAACTGCGATCGCACTGTGACCCGTAATTGCGAAAAACTGCGACACAGTTACGCGTAACTGCGATTTTTTCATCGTAACTATGCGTAAGTACGATGAAAAACTTGCAGCTACGCGTAACTGTGTCGCAGTTTTTAAATAGGAGATAACATGTATACTATCGATAGGCATTAATTGAATCAAAGAACTAACTAGACTTGAATCATTTTTTCTTTCACATTTATTGCATTTTAGATAAAAATATATATAACACACAATTTTCAAGAAAATAACGTTCTTCGAAACCATTAACAAAAAAATGAATACATAAATTATACACATGTTCAAAAAAATAATATATGCATAAAAAATCTAATTATGGCACATGTTTATAAAATATTTCAGAAATAACAGATAACTAGAATATTCGAATATAAACAAATGCAAAAAAAGTTCAGCTGTTCTTCAGAAACAATACAGGAAACTTATGAACGAAATACATATGTGAATTTAACTATCGACTGCTTGATTCATTGATTCATTTCTTTTTCTCTTCGAATTAATTGTTCGACGCTTGGCCAATATAACATTATGCAGCCAAATCCACATAGTTTCCAGTTCTTCCTTCGACAGTCGAAATTTGTTTTTGGCTGCTTCTGAAAGACACAAGTTCTTAACATAACAATTTACAAGTAAACGTACAAACCTTTCAGCAGAAGATATAGTTCATGTTGAGATATATCTTTTGTTTCGATAGCCAATAATTGTTCGGGTCTAAAAATTATGTCCATGAGAGACGTAACATAACGATTGGCATGCTCTTTAACACCAGCTCTTTGAAGCAAATCAATAATAGTACCATCAGAATTTTTGTATTCCTAATAAATAAAAAACTTGAAACTGAATACTCTTTTACATATTACAGCATACGCATCATACCATAGAAGTTAAAAAAATTTGATTGTCAGTTGGCTCATCTTTTTCATCCAGTTCAAGTAATGAAATGTTGACCTATGACAGGCAAGTAAACTGGCAAGTAACAAAAAAAAATGATCGCTTACCTTTTGTTTTCGTAAGACATTTTGAATTTTCTTTTGATTAGCAAACAAACACTTTATCCTTTCTTCGATCCGTTCTTGTCCAACAAGAAGAGGTCGTAGATATTGAGACTCAAGTTTATTCATAAAAGTCGATAGTTGCTGAGTAGTTGAAGACGATAATTGACCTGATGCACTTTTAGATCTATTATTCTCTCCTGTGATATGACAACCGACAAATTTAGGTGCTCCATTGCTTGATAATTCATTTGTATCAATACGATGTTCACTATTATTTATTAATTCATCCTCGCTGTCACTGGACTCATTGTTCATATTGTTAAATTGATCAAATAATACCGCTGATGATGTTACATTATGAGATTTTTTATGCCGTTTATGCTTCAAATTGGACATATTCTTGTGATCATTTTCGTTCGACTTATGTGCGATTTGAGATCTCGAGAGACAGGTTTCAACTGATGATGTTGTTGGTTGCAAGCCAATTAGAACATTATCATTATTGATCATAGCTAAATTAAGATAAGTTCATCTTACAAAAAACCTACTAAAGAAAAACTTACATGGATTAGTATTTAATGATTGACTGGAATTAGCACAATCTATTGTTGAAAAAGGAATGCATTCACTTGAACTATGAATGAAGAATGTCACACATACTTGTTCTCTCAGTAGATATTGTAATTGTGGATGTGATAGGTTGTTGATTATTAGAATTTTGTCCTATAAAATATTCGCATAAAATGCAAAATTTTCTTTTATTTTAAGAAACTTGCCTCCAAATGGAATAGTTTTCAGCGTCGATATTGTTGATGCAGTTGCTACGATAAATGAGTAGATCAAAATAAAGTATAAAATGAGAATTATATTTTCTCTACTTTTATGTTGTTTCAATTGATTTTCATTGCCGCTTCGTTCATAATCAGCATTTGACGGTATGTATTGTTTATCGGAACTTCGAATCGATTACGAACATGACTAACAATCGATTTCTGAAAATAAATGCTAATGATTTAACCATTTCTTCTAAATTTTAAAGTTGTTCAAATACAAGCATGGGAGTATCGATGATTGCGTAGACTAGTTTTATCACCAATCAAAAAAAATGATTCTATCATATCATTTACATCTGCACATTTCTTTTAAACTCATCTAATTTTGAAGCTTTATTTACCTTCTTCAAGGATAACTCCCATAAATTTCTTTTTACCACTTTGTACAAAAATAAAGCCATCGTGTTCAGCAGGAGAACATTGTTTTACTTTAACAACTGCAATTGAATTGTCTGATGGAAATAAAACAAGATTGTACATTTCAGCTTCAGTATTCGTTCGTCGATTTAAGTAAGGTTTAGCATATGTGTTCGTCGTATACATGACTATATAACAATAATCTAGAATATAGAATTTCAAGGTAATGTATGTGCCATAAAAAAGTTGTAGAGTATACAGCTGCAATAGCAAACTTTTCTTTATATGTACTACTACTAAAATAACAATCACACTTCGAACTTTCGAGAATTTCCAATTGTGATGATCAAGAAGTGACTAAAGAAAAGCACGAGAAATTTTACATGAACAATTTTGTAAAAATATGATTACATTTACAATTATACATCAAAGAATCACCCAATTACAAGATAACAGACAACATCGTATAAAAGTTCAAACTGTTATACAATGTTGTTTGTTATCTTGTAATTGGGTGATTCTTTGATGTATAATTGTAAATGTAATCATATTTTTATAAAATTGTTCATGTAAAATTTCTCGTGCTTTTCTTTAGTCACTTCTTGATCATCACAATTGGATATTCTCGAAAGTTCGAAATATGATTGTTATTTTAGTAGTAGTACATATAAAGAAAAGTTCGTTGTTACAGTTGTGTACTCCTCTATATCTTACCAAACTAGAATAAATAAGTTATGATAAATAATTGAGAAAATACAAACATTTTTTTTCAGAAATCGATCGTTAGTCATGTTCGTAATCGATTCGAAGTTCCGATAAACAATACATACCGTCAAATGCAATACTCACACATTTATGTCTTATCATTTCGATAGGAATAAGAAGAAACTCATCGGACAGTTGCAATAACGGAAACAATTGATTTATTTTTGAGTGTAATGAAGCTGGAATGTCGACATAATCTGTAATCGATTTTTTACTTAACTTATACTTCTGCACAAGAACAAAGAAATGAGAGTTGCTCTTGACGAAAACAATACTATTGCCATATTGTATAAAATCATGGGTAGAATCACTAAACGAAACAATATAACTTTGGCATTTGAAGGATTGATCATAAATAATTGTATGATATGTTACGAAGAAATGTTTGAATCGGAGATAGAAACTACATGAGTACACATCAAATTTATAAGATGCTAGCTGACCACTAAGAGCAGCCTGATACGAACTAAGCCGACCATCTAGCCATTTGATTTCCTAAAACATTTCTTTAGAACGTGAAAATTTTCGAAGAAGCAATATATATTTACATTGATAGCTGCTATTGTCGGAGCCTTGACTTGTTGTGTTTGAATCATTGTTTGAAGATCAATCCAGTAAGAGATTTGTGCACCGAGATGCTTGCTTCCATGAGCTTTTTTTTGAATAAAACGAATACAAGATTCAAAGGCGAAAGCAGATGTATGTGCAAGTCCACCATGCCGCCTTACTTGTTGCGCGAGATGAATATGAGCATGAAGTGAGAAGATTTCGATTGACGAATTGTGTATAAGTGGAGCAGTCTTACAATAATAATTCATCACTTGTTCGGCCAAATTGATCTCCTCGATTGATTCAGGAGCATGAAAAATTTTCACTGCCATAGAATATAGTAAGAAATGAGATGCTAATAGTCTTGGAAGATGCAATGTAACAATAGGCACTCCCACATTCAGTACGAATAAACGATTGTTTTTTGCTTTCCATTGGCCGGCATTTGACACCGATTCCAAAAAAGGTATGTTTAGATTGTGTGGAAGACGAAGTTGATTGAGTGAAGCATCGATTGAATTTACAACTGATTTGTCAACATTTTGGCACCAACGTTTGATAAGAGACGGTACATGTCCAAGACATACTAAATGCATGTAGTCAAATACGATTTGACAAGGATATTCGAAGATCTGAAGTGAAAGTTGAAATGATTAAGAAAATTTAAACTAGTTCATAATGAGGAATAAAATCGTTTTAGATAGGTAAGAATAATCTCTCTAACTAAATTTATTTTTCATTTTTCTTTTTTACAGTCATGATTTGAGATGTGATTACTTGTGAACAGTTTAATACTTTTACAGCAAGGATTGTAATAATGAGACTTAAATAAGCACATGAATATTTAAAATCATGAACTACAGCTTATAATAGAACAACAAAAGATTAAATCATCAATCGTGAAAATATTCTTTATATCTTGCAGCCCTTTGAGTACTATAGGCTCAATTTCTTCAATTTAGAATACTTCAAAAATGCAAAAAAGATTTAGAAGATTACTTTTGAAAAGAAAATCGTGCAGAATTTTGTAAATTCAAACTCAAAGTAATATATAAAGAACTGGGCATCAGCTCATTTACTCTGCATGTATTATCTTATATTCACAAACTAATTATAAATAATACTCAAGTCTCATTTGAAACAGAAACTAATCATTGAATTGAAAACCCTTTGTATATTCATTTATACCCACAATTTTTAACGAAATACGCATTATAATTGTGAAGCTCAACTTAAAACGCTGAGCGCCGGAACTTTTTTGATGATTTTACTCGTGACGTTTATTTCAAAATAATTTAGATGCTTAATTATGTTTAAAAACCTACAAAATGAATTTGAATTTTGCTGACCTGTAGTAAAGTAGAAAGACCTTTGATGCCACCAATAGAAACCGCTTTGCCACGAATTGATTTTGTTTGTGCTTCTTTTGCTGCGTTGAGATATGTACTATGAGTGCGAGGTGTTAAATTGTTGCGAGTAAAAGGATAAACGACGACGTTGTTCTCAGTGCTCCATTCACCTGTAACAAATATATGGAAAATTCTTCGGATATTAAAAAAGAATAAATTCATTTGCAATAAATCAAAATTCAGTGTTACTCAAGACTATCGAGTTGTAATAGGTATTATGGATTGCTTTAAGCTGAAGTCAACGTAAAGTATCTTATATTGAAAGAGATTTGATGATCTGTTGAAAAATGACTTGCTTAAGTTGTGCAAAATGTTCGATCACTGTCGTAAGATCGGTAATCTAACTTTCTGAAGTCTCTGGAAAAATAATTGATATTTGTTTAGAGATGTCATATGGAACTGAAGATTTGTTTTTTTATGTTTGAAAATTAATTTGGATGAAACAGACAGAGCTGCTGATGTTCATTTTCTCAATGTATCATTGTTTCCACATACATATTCGAGATCATGAGAGGATTCTATACACTTCTAATTGGTATCTCACTTAAGATCCTATGTTCCCTATCTATATGGCGCAATCTGAAAGTGGAATAGTCTATCGATAAAACTTGCATGTCATGTAGAATAGTCAGGCACTAGCATATATATAGTAAAGTAAGACACTACAAATTGAATTGAATTTAAAATCTAAATCTGTATGAGTCACACAACTTTTCATCTCTTATGATATGACTATTACATAACTTAGTATACACCAAAATGTATTCTAAAACATCTTACTGCAAAAAACTAAGTAGTTCAGGTTGTAAAATAAAACAATTTATAAAACGAATATGCATACCTGTACTGCAACACTCAGAGCAAGCTGAATAGCCATTAAAGTTGATTGTTTTACAAAAAAGAGCTTTTGCTGGAAGATCAGATACAAAATATTGTGTTCTTAACGTTATTTCATATTCCTGTCCATTAATAAAAATTGATGTTCCAGCATTAATCAGTGACTTAAGTTCTTCAATAGTTTCTTGTAAGAATATATTTGGATCAGGTTTCATTTTCGATGTCCATAACGACAACAGAACGATGTTTTTCTGGTATTCTCGTGCTGGTGGTGTCAATTCCACAAGTGATGCGAAACAGGGCCATATACTTTGTTTTGATAATTTAACAAGTGGTGCCCCGTCCGTGTGAACGATTAAAGTAACACGATTAATTGTACCACTTGATTGAGTTCGATAGTACTCGCCAAAACAAACATCTGTCATCGGATACAAATCTTTTCGATTAAGTAATAATTGATTTCTAGTCAAAATAGCTTGAATTTGTGCACGAATATCCAGATGTACAAGTTCGACGATTTCAGTACTCTTCATTGTTCGATTTTTTAAAGAACATTTTTCATTGTGACATAATTTAGTACCATAGATTCCTTTTTCGCATTGCTTCAAGCAGCTGGAACATAAAAATGTGGTTCTTGATGTAGATGCACGGCCTAATACTTTCATAATGCCTTTCCAGGACGTTGGTAATTGATTTGGTTTTGGTAAAAGTGTTTTAATAATACGAAGTAGGTTAACAACAGTGCTTTTGTTTATATTGAAATCGGTGAAGAAAGAGCAAAGTTGATGCACGGCTTTCTTGACAGTAATAGAGCTACCATTAAATAATGGCCTACTGTTGTCCATGTCTAATAAATAATCATCAAATGGGTGTACGTTGTCAAATAGGTCGTTTTCATAGTTCATTACTTCATGCGATGGTAAACATGAAGGAATGCTTGGTGATAATTTTATTGGTTCACGTTCAGCTGATTGACTATCAGGATTAATTTCATCATCACTTTCAATCGTATCAGAATCACCGAATAAATGATTCAGCATTTCTCGTTGTTGCCGACGTTGAAGCTCACGTGCCTTGATTTTTTTCGAAACAGAAGATTTGAAGCGAAGCATTTAACTAGAAGAGATGAAATATACAAAAACAATCATTGAAATTACACTAGCTGAGTGTAAATTGGAATTGTTAATCTGAAGCAACTACTAAGCTATAGACATCATTTACTATACGCAAGTACCACAGTCCTTAAGTCAAGTTTTATGAAAAATATTAAAAATTACTAAAAATATTAATAATTCATAAAAAAAATAAAATTCTGACCCCGGATTCGGATTCCTCGCCTAGGATTACCTTTAGTCAAGTTTTATGAAAAATATTAAAAATTACTAAAAATATTAATAATTCTTAAAAAAAATAAAATTCTGACCCCGGATTCGCAACTGTTAAAAACCTTGATGTCTCCATTTTGACTCCCAAAAACGTATATTCAGAATACTTACTCTACGTGTGTAGCAGAAAGAAATATGAACTACAGTCTCACGAACGCTTTCTTTTATAGGATCCTTGTGTGATTAAGCATTGGCACTACCGTGTGACCAGTAACAAGTAAGGAGGAGCGACTTGTGAATGGTTGATATCAAGTACAGTGCATCGTGTGGTGCGACTGATGTGTTACAGTCGCAGTTGCGTTGATCTGCATCTCAATGGCCATAGATTGAACAGCACTTTACGCTACGATTCAATGCGCCAAACTTATGCGCAGTTACGATGAAAACTTCGCAGTTACGCGCAGTTGCGATGCAGAATTGGCTCTACGCGTAACTGCGACGCAGTTGTTAAAAAAGAGACGACATGGGCACATACTTCAATTTGATCTAAATAAAATAATTCGATTAAAAATTACGAGTGCTTTCTGGTTCATCAATTGTTTATTCAAATTTAACTAATTTACTTATTCTTGGAGTTATACCATCAATGAGTTACAATAGTTTGAAATGTAAAATTTTATAAAAAAATCCTTTTTAATCAAATTTTCCGCCTTCAAATATTTAATATTCATAATCTCTTTTGATTTGTCCATCTGCAACTCAACAAATGAAGTAAGTTTTCTCGAATAAATTATAATTGAAATCCTTACTCCACAGCTGTTTCAACAAAATAATTTCGCCAATGTTTTTTTAAAAGCAAACCGATTTTTTTGCCTCAAATGTTCGATGTGCTTCAGGACCAATATCCAATTAATCATTTGATGTTCCATATTATTCACCTCGTTTTTTTTTCATATAATCAATTAGCAGAATTTATTTAAGTGTAACCAAGTTTTGTACCATATCACAATGTTCAATATTGGCTAAATGATCTCGATAAATTCCACGTTTATACGAATTGAGGAATGTTGTTTTAACAACACGACGGATATCCGTCATTTCTTTAATTAGTACTGTTCGAAGATTTCATACATTTCATGATCGAATATCTTCACATACTGCTTCAACATGATTTTATTTTAATTCTTCAATATAAATATAACCATGATCATTTTCTTTTACAACAACTGACTTGATTTNCTGCGATTTTTTCATCGTAGTTGCGCGTAACTACGTCGCAATTTTCCGCAATTACGGGTCACAGTGCGATCGCAGTTACGGCGTAACTGCGCCGCAGTTTCATCGTAATGAAACACATGGGTTGATAAGATCTTACCTACCAATCCCAAGATTTCAAGATCTTACTTACAAGATGTTTCACTAGGGTTCTTAACAAACATCATCAATAACCAGTACAGCTAATCGAGTAACTAAACATTGACTTCCAATAGAAAGTATAATACGTGATGTTGAATAATAACAAAGAATAAATCGACATAAATCAATAAATTTCATAGTAAGCCGAAAATCATGCCGAGCTTCACGTATTAATTTATCTGCTTCAATAATAATATCTATTATCAACAATAGTACCTACAATCAATAAAAAAGCAAATTTATAAATTTAACGAAATAGATTAAAATTCTAAACCTGTAGATAATCATATTTCTGTATCATAAGTTGGCACAAATGTCTTGATTAGTTCTTGAATAAATACATGATCGTAAATTCTAACTTTGCTAAAATTATCTTTAATGAAAAATATTTTATATTCATCTACCTTGAATTAACCTGTCTATGAAAATGACTATCAATTGTTGTTATTTCGAATGGATGTGAAAACGTCGAAAGAAAAAACGTCGAAAAAAGTATGTCGAAAAAATGGATAATGATGAATTGGATCAAAACGGTAAAACGTTTCTTGTATTTTATTCAAAAAACTGAAAGACGAGTGTATTGATGATTAAAATTAACTATAAAAAAAGGAAAAAACCTTGAGGGTATGTCGTGAGGGTGCACTTTAAAAAAATAGGTTTTTTACGAAACTTGAAAATTTTCTTCCCTCGGGCACACCGGAAGAACCTTTTTGGGCTCAGTATAGAACTTTAAAAGGTTTTGTATTTGAAGCTGGAACACCTATCAGGTTTAGTAAAGCTTGAAAAGCTTTTGTAGTTTCAATATCAAACCTTTTAAAGTTCTTCCAGTGTGCCCGAGGAAAGAACCTTATTAGGTTCCGTAAAATACCTATTCTTTTAGAGTGTGGTTGATGGTGTGGGTGTGGGTGTGGGTGTGGGTATGGGTGACGGTGAGGTGGAATGTGTACGAAGATAAGTTGCTGAAACCCACACTCACACCCACACCCACACTCTCAAGATACTTTGATCAAGTTTGATCCAGCTGTCAACAAATGAAAAATTCGTTATGATGATCAACAATATGCGCCACATTGGACGATCGTTGCACGGATATTTAAAGTGTAGTTTGTCTTTATAGCCATGTGCTGAGAATTGTGTAACTGGGAGCAGCAGATGTTATTTTTAAAATAAAGTTTAAAAAAAACAAGCGAAAGATAATTGCTATTTTCTGATCCAATAATATAACATATTCTGGATGTGAACTATGGAAAAGACGCGTTTTTCTCCTTCTTATAGACAAATCTCGCTTTAATAAAAATCGAGCTTAAAAAATATAGGTATTGTATCATTTAAATTTTACTTATTTTTAATTCATACTTTATGAACCAAAAGGAACAAAAAATAAAATAATGATTAAATTTTAAACAATAATACATAAATAAATAAACTTCTCATATTTGATGTGAACAGATGAAGTCAAAACGACATAAAACCAAATAATGGTTATATTATTAGATGCATTTGATACTTTATTCTACAGAAAAATAATTATATTTATGTTTATTTTATCAAACACTTTCATAAGAACCACATAGATTGACATATAAAAAGTTTCGCCTTTAAATGAACTGGACTTTAATAGAGAATTAATATAATTTTATCCTTATACTTATTATTATTATTATTAAACTGATAAATATTTAATATTAAGTAAATCGATGTCTGCTGTTAATCATTATCGATTCAATTAACCGAACTGATGCACTAAAATGAAAATATTTTTAGAATTTTATTTAAACAATTATATATTTTTGTATTTTTATTTCTTATCTGTTCCACCATAATTTATAACTTCGTCCACATAAAAATATACAAAGATTAGAAAAAAATGAAGTTTTTCGGAAGATCCTTCTTTGTCAACTTAATGTAGATTACAACAAATATTCAACCAGAATACAGAATTTAAAAAAATGATTAATTTTATTTTGAAAAATGAATTTCCTATCAGAATTTTAAATGTTTCTTTTCATTAACTATTCATAATTAAATTATTCAAAAAAAAACAAGAAAAGAAAGAACACATTTATAACTAAAATAATCACCTCACTTAACTAAACACATTGAATGATTTAGTCGTTTTTCAGTAACTTTGAATATCTAAGCAGATTCAATATCGATTAGTATTATTTTTTTGTTTATGATAACTCAAAAAATTAATTTAACAGAAAACTAAAATATTAATTTGTCTTTATTATATTTTGTTTTCTTAAATTTAAAACAAATCTTCTTTTTTTTTGATTATAAAAGTATTGCACACCAAAGTTGATCTTGAATATTTCCTGTTGGTGTAATTGTATCCAATACAGCTGATATACGATTACTAAATTGTGACGTATTATCACGAAGATAATCCATAAATGATCATCAGAAACAATACCAGATAGTTCTTCTATTTGATTATCCCTTGCAGCACGAACAATTAATACATTATTTACTTCTTGCTTTTTATTAACAATCATTTCCATCTAAAAAATAATTTTAAATTACTTTAACTTCAAATGCGTGATTTGATACTGTATCTCAATACAAAAAATAAAGAATTAATGATGTAACTACTGATCCATTAACAACTCCAATTAATGAATGTCCTTGTTTCAAATCAATTATTTGTTGAGCTAAATCAATTGCTACACGTTTTTGTGCTTCAAGAGTACTTGCACCTAGATGATGTGTACAAATAGTCAAAGGATGTTGAGTAAGTTTCATATCAATTGGTGGTTCTTCTTGAAATACATCAAGAGCTGCACCACCACATTGACCACAATTATGTGCATTAACAAGTGAGTTTTCATCAATTATTCCACCACGAGCAACATTTATTAATTTAACACCTCGTTTACATGATGAAAATATTTCGTCGTTGATTAAATCTATTTTAAAATCAGATGTTTATACATATATATATATTATTAATAAAACCAATTATTTAAGATGAGCTGCTTCTGTATATGGAACATGAATCGTTATATAATCAGCTGATGACCAAAGATCTTTCAATTGAAGAAATTCGACTCCAAATGTTAAACTTCCCCAGGATGAAGAATCCGACTGTTTGATCTCCTATCCCGTCCTTCACATATCAAGTTTGTGTTAACTTTTATTAAATAAAAATGGGTAAAATAAAAAAAATAGGAAAAAAAACAACAAAAATTAAAATTAAAAAATTAAAAAAATAGTTTTACTCGCTTTTAAGACTTCATGTCGTAATATAATCTAAACAGTAAAAGTATTAAAAAAATAAAGCACGAAAATATGAATAGAAATAAAATAGATTAAATAAACAGTTTCTACTTACTATTGATAGGGTTCATGCCGGATGGGTGTGGATGTGGGTATATTAAAGAAGTGTGATGAGTACGCTCACACCCTCAAGGTTCATATATGTGACCTTTTCAGTTATTAGATAACTCGGTACAAATAAGGCGGTCAGCGTCGTAAGGTGAACCCATCATACCAAAATAAATCATGTGACAATGATTAAAAATAAAATTTATTATTAATTCAGTAAAGCTAAAACATTTGATGAACTCAAGTGTTTTTATATTAAAAGAAAAAGTAATCTAGGAAAGACAAACAAACATACATATATTTTTTTTATGTGAGGACAGAAGCCAATAAACAGACAAAACTGCTTTTTGATTGGTTCGAATCGACAAGCAAACAAATACAACAAACATAGAAACACATTTTCACATCAGAGAATTTGTTTGAAAAAAAAACGAAACTTTATGGTGAAATCGAATAGGACAGTGTGGTTCACAGTGAGAAACTATATTGTTTGAACTCATAAACTGTAAAAACATTTTTAATTCCAACAATTGAAAATAAATACATTTCTATTTTAGTTTTCATGTCAAGAAAAAGTTCTCAAATTCGTTCATCACATAGTATTGCACGAGGAAATTTAAATGATCTATCAAATAGATTATCAAAAGTTGAAATAACTACTAAAAAGTAAATATAAAAAAAAAGAATTAATCAATACATTATTTATTAAGATATTAGTGTTCGAAAAAGCTCAACAAAAAAAAACTCTCTGGATTATTTTATTGAATCAATAAAAAAAGGTCAATTTAAACGAATTGTTGTTCTTGTTGGAGCTGGTATTTCAACAGCAAGTGGTATACCTGACTTTCGGTATTTATTTATGGATTTATTTAATATAAATATTCTTTTTTTAAATTTAATATAGTACAGCAGGTACAGGTTTATATGATAATTTACAACGTTATAATATTCCATATCCAGAAGCCATATTTGAATTAAATTATTTTAATAGAAATCCAAAACCATTTTTTGATTTAGCGAAAGAACTTTATCCAGGAAAATATTTTCCAAATATAAATCATTATTTTCTTCGTTATTTATATGATAAAAATATTCTTCATCGTATTTATACACAAAATATCGATGGGCTTGAAAGAAGTAAAATTACCATAATGTGCGCATACATAAATATTTGTTTAAATTTAATTTCAGTGGCTGGTATTCCAAATGATAAAATAGTTGAAGCACATGGAACATTTCAAAGCGCAGCATGCCAACGATGTCGTCAAAAATATCAATGTGAAGATATTCATCAAGATATATTTGATGATAAAATTCCAATTTGTTGGAAAACATCTCGATGTAATGGAGTAATTAAACCAGATATTGTTTTTTTTGGCGAAGATTTACCATCTCGATTTCAACTTTATCAACAAGATTTACCTTCATCTGATTGTTGTATTGTTATGGGTACATCATTAGCTGTCTATCCATTTGCTGATATTATTGATTCAACAACACGTTCAACAATGCGTCTTTTAATTAATCGGCAATTAGTTGGAACTTTTTTATCACCAAGATCTTGTGATGTAACATTAATTGGAGATTTAGAAATTAATATTAAACAACTTTTAACTAAATTGGATGCTCTTGATTATGTTTTAGAATTAATGAATAGAGAGAATGCATTACATAAGCAACACCAGAAAAATTTTCCAAAAAGTGCACCAATAGCAAGAACAAAAACTGGATATGACCGATTAAAAGCTGCTGAAACATTTCTTGAACAAAAACGAAAAGTTTCAACATTAAATTCTCATCGTCAACAAGTTCAATTCGTAGCTCAACCCAATACTCATGTATATAATGCATCAACAAAACTTATGATTGAAAAACATAATAATGCTTTATTATTCAATCGAAGACGATCAAAATCAGCTTTACCAGTACTTCCATCAAAACAATCATCATTGTCATCCTCCTCCTCTTCCTCATCATCATCATCGTCATCATTAAATAGTTCATTATCTGAATGTGAATTAATGCCGTTTTCTTTTAAACGGCCGCCAGATAATAAAACGCAAGCTACAAGACAAATCATTGTGACATCAACAACAAACCTTAAAAGAAATCCTTTGCTAAATGCAACCTTAAGAACAGTTTTGTGAATATTACACGAAAAAAAGTGAATAAAAGAATCGAAATAATAAAAATTTTCAAAAACAAAATTCAATGAAACCAAAAGCGACTAAGAATTTTTCTTTAGAATTTTAATATCCATCTTGAGGGTGTGGGTGTGTATTAAGACATGATAAATGCGCCAGCATCCATACCCTGGCTCTCCTCTCTATGTTGAATTGTGAATTAAAACTACATTGTATTGATTGTCCGTTATATGTCTGAATCTCTCCTATACAGGCATATAAAAGAATAAAATTAGCGTAATCTAATTTTAATGTGCCACTGAAAACAAAAGGATGGGACCAGACTTTTGAGATTCACTATATTTTTCTAAATGTAATATTTCAATGTATTGAAGTCTAAGAAAGTGTTTTTAAATCAATCTAAATAAAATCGAAAATAATTTTTCGAATTTGATCAATAGTTAACCTTTTTTTAATATTTGAAATAATATAGAATTTATTTATTTAGATAAAAAGATTAAATCCAAATATATAATCTGTCTAATTGAGGAAATCTAATTTGAATATCTTTAGAATGAAATAATCGGCCATTATCAATTTCTATTAATCTTTCTTTAAAGATAATTTTGTTGGCGGGTTTAGATCTATAAAGGTCTTTTTTATTTAATGTTAAATAAACTAGTTGATCAAATCGACGAATAATTTTGAAAATAAACTGGAGAAGATTTTCATTGAAGATAAGATATCCACCACTTATTTCAAGACAACATAGATTCGGTGCTAATTGATTTAATCGATCGATATCAAAAGGTTCTTTAGCTTGACGACATAATCGATCTAATAAAAGATGCACATGTTGAAGATTTGAATACCTTTGAGAGCAATGACGAAACTCGTTCCACTCAATTTCAATATGCGAAAGATTTGGCGACGAATCAAGTATTTGCTTCACTATATAAACGCGTTCTGCTTCTTTTATTCGCTCTGTTTTCGATTTAAAAGTCATGGATCGTAGATGATTAAACGACAAACGACAACTAGAAGGATATTTTGATATCATCAGGACATTTATCTAAATAAAAATCAACATTTTATACATTAATTTTTTAGGCACTGTTTATCGCTTGAATAGATAACTCCTTTATACACTTTTGCAATATTGATATTCTTTCAGAACTTATCATTAAATGACATTTTCCCAGAAAGACTGTAGAACAGTGCCAACTACTTTTCAGAGTTTTACTCGAAGATCTACATCGTCAAATGCAAAAAGAATAAATTTTCAACAAGATAAATTAAAAAAGTATTTTATTATTACGATCCTTTCAATGTCGTAAAAGTTTGAAAGGAGTGGAAATTTCTATCAGAAAACTCAATTTTGTTTTTCGTTTTTTCTCAAAATGACCTTTTGAAGAATTTCACATTTATCTATTGCATTTTTTTATGCATAGTTGTTTTCAAATCAAGATCTACAGTGAATCTCATGAATCCAAGTTGTGTATACTATACTAGTTATGTCTCGTCTCTTTTGTTAATACTCATGTATTTAGTTAGTTAACCGATGATTTACAATTATTCAAAAATAGATTTCGGTGTAAAACAACGCGAATATCCCGCTTTTCGACTGCCTTTTAGTATAGGGCGTTGTTCGGTATCTTATCCTATAACTAGCTTGAGCTCTGGACGAATTGCACTAACCATATACTAGTCGCAAGGGTCTGTGTATGTCACAGCATAGTCAGTCATAGCGGTTGTTGGATTAAGGCAAAACGATGATCTGTGTTCGAATATGTACACGTTTTGCTTTTCAATTCAATTGAAACTTCTAATGAAGACACACTCTGAAAATAGGTATACTCAGAAAGCAACTAAAATAACTTTCGAAACTTCCTCTACTTTAGAGTACAGTGCATCAGAATACACTGTCCTGTTCTACTCGATTGATTCAATAGATTGGGACAGGACAGAGTAAGGTGCAAAAATACCACATTGTGAACATCTTTAATAACTAGACTAAAAAAATCGAAAAAAAAATGTTTTTTTCTATCTCACAACGTGCTAGAAACGTACGGTTTTATCCAGAATTACATTTTATCTTTTCAGAAAGTGCATCAATTTAAAACAGTCAACAATTGTTTTTTTTCTGACTTTTATATCATATAGACAATTTGAATAAATAGTATTCTGCACGATTAAGTTCTATCGTTGACGTATTTAATTACATAAAATAAGTTTAATACTTTATTTCTCACTCTAAATATGAGATTTACCAATTTTGTTTTGATAAGTATTCATTTGAACAGTACATTCTCATTTTTATTCCAAATTTCCTTTTTGTTAAACTTTAGTTCCATCCTATTGATTAACCAATCAAACATCTGACATTGGTTAAAACTTTATCAAATCATTTTGTCCGAAATTAAAATGAAAGCAATTTGATAATTTTTTACAATTCCCTTTCAATATAACTGTCATAACATATATTGTCTTTAGTTTAGACGTTAATACACTTACCAAATCATCTCGATAAATCAACTCGAGTTTGTTCACGTGACTGCTTCCAACTATTTGCAAAGTTTTGAGTAACTGATCAGGATTGTCCATTTCATTGCAAGTCAGTTGTAGTGATCGTCGTCGATTTGTAATTATCGGCATAGATGCTTGTGTTGCAAAACGATGATTATGTAAAGTTCGCTCGTGTTCCAATAGAATATTGATTGGACGTGTATAGATAATTAATTGACTTCTTTTGATAAAAGATACTCCATCATCGTCCAAAAATAAAGGATCATCTACATAATGATCAACATTGTCAAAAGGCCATTCACCATTGAAACTAAACAGACTTATTCGCCATGCCTCTTCAATCTCTTTGGGAAAGCAAAATGAAAAGTAGAGATTTTTCAGAGAGGGTAAATGTTGAGAATCACAGACTTGTTGAAATCTGCTAAGATGATCGAGTGCTGCAAAAAACACGAAAAATGTAGATTTTTATTTTGAAAAAATATATTCAAAGTAAATGCGTTCAGTTTTGTTAAAATATTTCCAGTGAATGAGAACATGTGTTTCACTGCTGGAAATATCAGTAAAATATTTGTGCATGTCTCATCTAAACTGTTTTACGTTAATGATAACTTACTATGATCATATAAATCGGTAAGTATGAATTTTTCAAGTAAAGGCATAGCTAATGAATTCATTAATATAATAAGATCATGAAGAAATATATAACGTAAAAATAATGATTTTAATCGAGTACCATCAACTATTTCATTGAGTTGACTTTTATCAAATGAAATACTTGATATTGATTTGTTTTTATGTTCTGACAAAATACTATATACATCCTCATTAGTAATATTTAAATGTTCAATTGACGGCAAAGCACCCTTCCGAAAAAGAAACATTATTTCATTTGAATGTTTAATACTTAAACTTAATTCTATTGTATCTGGCCAGCATAATCGTTTCATATTTAAATCTTGTACTAAATCATTTGAATAAAATTCATAACCTATAGAATAAATAAAGCTAATAAGAACATAGCGAAAAAAATCTATCATCTTAGCGACCAACCAGGGCTCTCCATGTCCTTCGCAGACACTGTGAAAAACAAAATCTTTTTGGGCATACAAGGTATGGAGATCGAGATCATTTTTTAGAAAGATTTCACGCACGTAAAGGCTACTCAAAAACTACGTTTCCCTTTAATTGTTGACCATTTTTTCATACTTTTCTTATGTATGTACCTAATCAAAATCCTTTACTTCTCAAAGTTTCAGCCGTCTAGCTGGGACTGACATACATTCACTTTCACACCTCATTGTGCATAATTTTTACTAAGAAACTATTGCAAAAATCGACTTCGAAATCGAAGTATTTCACCATTAGTTCCAGAAAGAGAGCTGACATTTTCATCTTTCGAGCTAAGTACAAGTATGTCAAACAGAAAACAAATTGAGAATATATCTTTGCAAGTTAAAAGATTTTTCATGTTGCAAATAGAAGACAGCAAAAATATAGAATAAATTATTTCATAATACCTGCTCTCTTAACTCTAGAGAAAACTCAGATATTCAAAATTGATATATACAGTAAAAGCTCTATAGTGGATACCTACCGGACTTTTCAAACTGTCCACAAACGATAAGTTATATATCTTCCAAGAGGGCAAGTTCTTAGAAGAAGCAAAAATATTTCTACGTATCTAAGAGATTAGTGAATAATATAATGGTCAAGAAAACGTTATCATGTCTATTTTTATCTTCGTTTTAGTATTTAAACAGAAAATCAAGACATCTTATAATCTTTCGTTCAATCCTATTTTGTCACTTTTTATATTGATTAACTACAGCCACATTGTTTCTTTTCTATGTACACTCTTGTCAGTTTGGATACTGTACTGTCCGTCTCTTTTCATAGTAGGAAAATCATTATTACAGATATTCAACAGTAGCCCTCGTGACATTTGGAACATTGAAATATATTGACTTGTAAAGACAAGAAATTCTACTTGGGTCACACAAATAGTAAAGGCTCCCGTATAGACAGCTTGAAAAAATTTCTTTTTTTTGTCAACAGATAGTGTCTTTTGTTCTATCTTTCTATGCTATTTGATCACTATTCAACTAATGTAATAACAACTATTATAATTCGATAAGATCTGTTTCTTTTGCATGTGTCCTGACTGTTGGAAAGAGGAAATGAAGACTCATCAAACCGCATATTACTGATTTGTGTAAGGTTTTCAATTGATCTTTACCGCTAATCTAAGATCTACAAACTGTGAAAAACTCGTATGTTTAAATTTAATTATTTAGAGATAATACATATTCTAACTAAGATTTTCCATGAACTCTTTTACTTTTCCATAAAAAAAACTTCAGAAATCATATTAGAAAAATCAGTAATACATAGTCCGATGCGTCCTTCATCTCCTTTTTCCAACGGTGAAAACCGCAGTTCTCCATCTTGTTGTTACCAAACGTACTTACGAGCATTCATGCTACCGGTACATATGCGAAAGAAACAAATTATTATTATATTAGTTGAATCGTGAGCAAATAGCATAGAAAGATAGACTAAGTAATTTCTAAATTTTCAAGATAAATATCTTTCTGACTCGTTGTATATTAAACATATCGTAACTGATGAATGTTTTCTAATTGTCAACCGTATTAATTAATGAATACAATCAGTGTCCAAAGATAATTTCAAATCTCTTAGTAAATTTTCGTTGATAATATATCATATAATCAAATGATATTATTGTAACTATAAGATAGTCATTAATCTGGATTTTGTTATTGATAAATATATTTTCTGGTATACCTTTTTCAACTTCTAATTTTATAGTATGAATTGAAATACGAGAAGAAATGAGCCAAGAAAGTATTGAAAAGTATGAAGTAGGCCTGTCAAATATGAGATGTAAACGTTGTAGTGTATTCTTATGAAATGCTAAAGGTGTTAACAATGGTTCAATTGATAGATACGAATAAATTTCTGCATTGAATATAACAAGTTGCTCTATTGACGGTAAAATCATCGTTACGAATTGTTCGTTATCATTTAAACTTTTCCCCAAGTAGTTAAGTAACATAACATCAAGCAAGCTGTTGATGTACCACGAAGTACAAGAGTATCTATCAAAGCAGTAAAACGTTTTGTAGTATCATTATTAATATTGCTAAGAAATTGGTACAATTGATCATAATGCATTGAACTAATATCTAACGAATGGGGTATGGATGTAAGAAGATGTTTAATTCTACTATTTTTTACATGAAGAAAGGTTTGACATAATTGAAATGAAGATAAATAACGAAATATAATGAGTAAAATTTCATTGGGTAATGATTCGAATGTGCTTTTGTTCATTCTTTTATTATTGAACTGATCTGTGTAGATGCATTTCCTTTGAATATATATATTATTCGTAAATTATGGACGGACATTGTTATGAGTATTACGTCTCGTCTGATGAGTGTGTTCATCATTTTTTATTGGATGAACAACATGTAGGAAAAAATCAAAAGAATACTTGAAGATAATTTTATGATTATGTGAAATCTTGCTTATAGATATTAAATATTACTTTCTTTTTCATATTTCTACATATGTACTTATTTGAAAAAAATCTCTTTATTGTATTTTCGTGATTTGAATGATCAATAAATCAATGATATTTTTTGATAGATTTCTGGATAAGTTTATGTCTTATTCATCTTTATAATCACGGGATATTCCCTTTTACATAAGATAATCAATTATTTATAAAACAAAACAATAACCAATTTATTTATTAATAATTATATACAAATACAAAGCTAGAAAAATTATCTTCGTTCCATTTCACTTCATTGATCAATTACATCAGCTTTGGCTTTGTTGTGCTATGAAAAAAAATCCATTTGCTCGAATAGCCACATACATTTACCAGCTTTATACAATCGAACAGGGCAATATGACCATTTTTGTTTATCATCTAATTTGTCAAAAAATCGATCCTATTCAATATGCCGAAAAAGAATATTTACTGCAGGATAGATGTGATTCAAAAAACAAAAATAACACACCCAGTCCCAACTGGTAACCGTGCGATGTTACACCACGACCAAGATCTGTAATAAATTCTTGGTTTTCTCTCAGATAAAGAATAGCATCGTTCGGCAATTGAAAAGTCGCATCTCGGCTATTGATTTCATCAACTAAAATAAATATATACATATTGTAATATTAACGAGCTTTCTGATTCTCATAATAATATAAATTTAGTTTAGAAAAAAATAAGAATAGTTTTTTTTCTACGTCGGGTATGGGTGTGGGTGATAACAGGAAAAAGAAGAAAGGAATTATCTTTAGTTATACAACAATAATGGGTTCTATAATTCCCTCGGAGTACATATAAGAACTTATTACTTTCATTTCACTTCGTCTATCAAGCGAGTCGAGAACTTTTCTAAAGATTGATCTCGTTGTTTCCATTTAAATAATCAGCAATGACTGTTTAAACAATTTCATATTTCTTTGTAATTAACAACGAATGATATTCCCATCGAATATCAAACTCTTCGTCAATAGTAAGACTTTTTAATTATAAAAAGAATGGAAAAGAAAAGAAAAAGCAGAATAAAAGAGCAACAATCTGTGCATCACGAGGCATTTTCAAATCATTCATCATATTGCCTAATAAAAGATTGTATTTGGTTTTCTCCAACCGTTTATTTTGTAAGTTCTGCAATAAAAATATAGCACAAGGTATCATGATTTTAAGCAAATCAGAAAAGAACTCACCGGTTACGGTTGCGACGATCGAAAAATATAAGATTTCCTCCTTTATTTTCATTTAAAAAAAAAGTCATTTAATCTAAGCCCGGTGGAATGGCCTAAACGTCATGAGACTGGCAAAAAAGAAACTTCTGGAAAACAAAATTGAGATGCATTGGATTAGGAAATGCTTTTGGTTATAACAGCGAACATTTGATCACACTTATAAAATATGTTTGATCTTGGAAACTGTTTATTTTTTTATTAGTAAAGACTGGAATTTATCTGAATCACAAGCATAATCGTAAAAGTTTGTTCACAGAAGATTTAGTGATCACTTTGATCATGATGAAAATCATAAATGACTGCAAACTTAGAAAAAATTGTTGTGTATTGAATGCTCAGAAAAGCTTGTAGATAACTCTGGATAACTTAGTAGGTACTGCTAATTGTTCCTCCTGTCGGATCGGATGTGGGTGTCGGTGTAATTAAAAAGGTTCGCATCTGTCTTCACTAGCACACCCACACCGTCAAGATTTTTATCTCTGAAATGATATGCTAAAAGATCTTTTCTTATCTATAGTAATGTCGTGTGATGAAGAAGCGTTTCTTTTTTATTTATATAAATTCGTAATGGAGTGCGCATTAAACGAACGTGAGCTTGTTCTTTTCGATTGTGACAACGGTCGACTGAATATTTTTTTGAATCACATGACACTTGCTGCATTCATTCCATCATATTATGAGTGCTATATATTCTGGAATGATTTCAAGACTTCTATGTTCACCACGTTATGTTCAAGTCTTCAACTATTTCCTCATATACATCTCAATCCAAACTATTGTGAACAAATTACATTGGTACCTGACTCAAATCTTGTGAATTTTGCGCATGAACATATAAATGAGTTTACGTACATTCTTATAGTTCATGGAAATGACCGTTGTTATGAAGAAATCTTCCGCTCTGTTACCAACCAGTACGGACAAAATAAAATTAGACTGCTCGAAATAGTTGAACCTTACAATGAACACATTCAAAAGATTCTAATTCATTTTCAAACAGGTCAAACAACTTATAATTTTCACGATCAACCTGGCAAAGTTGAATTGAATAGACAGCAAAAACTTGTGACGTTTTTTCCGTCAGTCAACGTTATTCACCGATATGATGTGACGAAAGCTTATTTAACGGAATGTTTTACCATAAAACGTCTCGAGAAATTCGAACCAAAAAGACGAAGCATTTATCGTAAAATTTATCATCGTAGAATATTGAGATTCTCTACAAAATTCTTGATCACGGGCAATGATCGATTATTCGTTTATCTACAAATACAGCCGTTGAAGCGTTCTTTGATTTCATGTAAAGACTTCCAGTACTGTTCACTTTGCCAACAACTGTTCAGATGTGTCGTTGACTTGCGGCAATATCAAGCTCATACGCATGGTGACTTAAAGCATTTTATTACAACCCGAAAAAAGGCAATTTTTATCCAGAGCAGAAAATTTCAAAGACGAAACTTATTGAGAAAGACACTTTGCCTAGGTGAGTCGACAAGAAAAGGTCGTCAATGTCTTTTGTGTTCAAGAAAATTCTTAATCAATCAAACTTGGAAAAAGCATATTGAAGTAAAACATATTGAATATAATTTAGATATCTATTTCAGGTTATTTAGTTCTTTAAACAGAGTATTAACGGCAAGAAATCATGAAGCAATTATGAAAATATCTATGTCTCAATATGGAGAGAAATTTTCTTGCTGGACATGTAAGAAGAAGTATCAATATAATGAAGACCGTATACGACATTTCATTACATGTCATTTTTCATTGTGTACACCTACTGGTAATATGTTAACAACTTATCGAAATAGTCAGTCCACATCATTACTGAACCCTGTGCATAGCACCGAAGTCTTAATTAATACTTCAAGAAAATCACTGAAATGTTGGAAATGCGAAAAAAACCTCAAATCTGAAAACGGTCGACTAGACCATTTCGTTCGAAAACATTCACGAGCTATTTTATCAATTCCTTTTAATCCAACACGTCGTCTACTACGAAAAATAGAGATGGTAGAAAAACAAATGTTAATTACTAGTAAACAGGCAACTGTATCTACAAAATCAACGTTTTTGACACCTACTGAATTGTTAGCATCGTCCTCGCCTAATGCGGAAACGAGACTAAATCAAAAGAAAAGTGCTGAATTGACATATAATCGTATTGGTAAAACAATATATTGTTCTCAATGCAATAAGAAATTCCAATCCACTGCTAAATTTAAAAAGCACTCCAATGCCAAGCATTCTCGAGCTCGAATATCGATCGAACAAATAACTATAGATGCACAAAATTCGTTTGATGCTAGATCAGTCACATCTTCAGCAATTAACGCACTACCATTCTCTGTCGTTGATACGAACTCAACATTAACAAATCAAACAAAGAACACAGAGGAAATACCTAACTCTGTAAGCTTACAGTCTGAATACCCAAGCTCTTCTGGTACATTCGATTCATCTACTGCTCCAGATGCGGATTCTAAAACAAATGATATTCAATCTAATTCATCTTTGAATTTCAAACTGTCAAGTATCTTTGTTGATGCATCGGTCATAACGAAAGATGGTGTAAAGGCTAGAAAGCATAGAAATGAATCTTTTAAAATGATTTCTTGTTGGCAATGTTCGAGAAAATTCGAATCCGCTCACAATTGTTTCGGACATTTTTTTCGTAAACATTCTATGTCCTTTCAAAAGAAAGTTTTGACGCTATCAACCGATGGAAGTAATCCTACACGAATTATGCAACATCAGACGAATAACAAAAAGGTCCCATTATCTTTTAGAAAACAATCAGTTCAGTCTTCATACTGCATGAAAGGAAAGTTTCAATCTCATTTAGCATTTAAACATACTGATTTGGCACCATTTACCGATATGAATGGATCGAGTTTTCTTAAAAAACAACCGACATTAGCACAACAACAAATGAAGACTAAGCAAGATAAGACTACTTCTAGAATTACATCATTCTATGATTCACAATATTCCGAGAAATTCGCCTTGTCGTTTAATTTCGGTCAACAACATAAGAGTTTGCCTGAACCATCGATCGTACCAAGGAAAGTGAAAGTGCCACCACCTACTCATCAAGATTTAGATTTAACTACCATGCACTCTACGTCTTTTTCAACAGCCAATTTAAACTTCAGCAATAAAAAGTACATTCAGACAATAGAATGTATGAGCGATTCTACAACAATGTTTTCTTGTTGGCAATGCTCCAAAAAATTCAAGGCAGTTCACAGTCGTTTTAGTCACTTCATCAATCATTATACTATACTTATTAGCGATGATAATAGCATCGATTTTCGGCATAACATGCGAGATAACAGAGCACTTTCGAATACCATTCTTAGCAAGCAATTTTCATGTTGGTCATGCAGGAAGAAATTCGAATTGGATCAAGACTTGATAATACATTTCGTTGACAAACATGCTAATTTTATATTATCTGTAACTACTAATCCGATTGACATTCTTAAAGACGCAATAATTAAAGCGAAGCAACAAAGGAACACTTCCTCTACTGATGATGCATCATCAAAGAAACTTAGAGAACACACGATCGCGTCTAGTGATTTGCAACAGCATCAGTCATCTGATTCAAAGATGCTCAAATTAAGTATTCGTTCAAAAGATCAAAATAATGCTGTGGAAGATTTGCAACAATGTTCTAAAATGTTTTTTTGTTGGAAATGTCCCAAGAAATATAAATCAGCTTATGATCGTTTGTACCACTTTTTGTTCAATCATTCTGAATCCTTCCTTCCTACTATGACCGAATCATTCAATCGTTTGAATAACCATACGTTATCATCTCAAATTTCGACAAATTCTTTGTCTGAAACACACTATTGTTGGAACTGTACAAACAAATTCAGATCTCCTAGTAGTCGAATATCACACTTCATTGACAAACACGCTAAAACTATTTTGACCATAGATATTGATCCATCAGATATTCTAAAGGATCAAATTATCAAGGCACAAGAAATTATGATGATCAAACAAGATTCAATTATTGATATAAAAGCATCATACATCTGTTCTCATTGCCCGAAAAAATTTAAAACTAGTGCCGATCGTTCTCAGCATTTAAAAAACAAGCATGCTAGATCTATTCTTACTCCTCCATCAAAACTATTCAACAATGTTAATAACGAAGGAACAATATTGCAAGAAACCGTCAAAATTATGCAAAACAAGACTTCTTCAGTTGAGAAATCCTTAAATAGTGCAAAATGTTTGAATCATTTTAATAGTGAATATGCAGACGTAATGACATCAACAATTGCCCAACCCACAAATAACAGTAACAATCGAAAAGAAGTATTGTACGAACATACCAAGAGTACGGAGCCAAAACTAATACAGATACATATATCGTACTATTGTCAGCAGTGCCAGAAGAAATTCACATGTACCACCGATCATTTACAACATTTTCAAACCGAACATCCAGAAATGAAATCTTCTGACAAAACTTTAGAAGAATTTTTCGTTAATCCAATTATAATGCAATGTTCAAGAGCGAAATTTACCACCCTAGTTTATCTATCGCTAGGATCGACTAGAAAACAAATCTCGATCAAATGTAATAGCAAGTTGAATCATTGTCCCTATCAGGCATGTCAGTCCGGAACAGTTAATTATGATTTTAAAGATTTTTGGGTGCATATAATTAAAGAACACGACAGTGCACAAATCATGTTGGAATGTTGTGACCCAAAGATAATGTATACTACAGATGAATACAAGAAGCACATTCTACATCCTGATTAAAAATCACATGAGTACGAGTCTATAACAGGTCACATGAACATTGTCATTTTTATGCTTCGATTAGTTGAATATTTTTTATTTAACGTCAATTTAAATTTAAATTACACAATTTCACTCGTGTTTTGATGAAATCTGTTAATGCTATTCAAATTGTTTTCGAACACAGTTTTCCGTTCTTCAATGTACACATCAGAGCTCCGCGTGGGATGGGACGCAAAAAATTATCCCACGGGACAGATTTCAATAGCTTGTCCCACGGGATGGGATGGGACGAAAACGTTTTTTTCCATCCCATCCCATGAGACGTCTGCAATGTGAAATACTTTTTAAGATGTCAAATTTATTTGATTATCATCGATCGACTGAGACTACGAATAATAATATTGCTTCATGTCACATTTCATGATTTTATTAAAATCAAGCTCAGAGCTTGAATTTCTGTTTTTTTGCATATTACAGTAATGACATCATTCTGGTTATAAATACAGCATTTTACAAAATAGACAAAAAGAAGTAGTAAATGAGAAAGGAAAATATTTCATTCAATATCCCATGACAAGCATTACGACGACCTGATACGTTCGAAACGGCCGTATACGTGTCGTATACGATCATACACGGCAAATTTAAGATCGTATACGTGTCGTATTTTAACGTTTTAGCATACGCCGTAACACGCCGTGTCGTAAACGGTCGTAAACAACTCAAGTGTGTTGTAGTACACTGTAAAAAAAAACCGTAGAATAATAAACGAAAAAAGGGTTTATGAAAGTGCAACGTGTCGGAAACCCTTTTCAACCGTTTATCAACGAGTCATAAACCCTGTTATAAACCCTCTAAAAAGGGTTTAGTACGGAGTTTATTATCGTTAAATATTTTTTCTGGAAGGTTTATTGAAGGGTTGATCACATTCATAAATGCTTAAAGGGATTGCGACACGTTGCACTTTCATAAACCCCTGAAAAGGGTTGATAATTTACATAAACGTTCTCATATAACCTTCGAAACTCAGTCTAAAAAGGGTTGATTA